GAGTGCAGTGGCGCAATCTTGGCTCACTGCAAGCTCCGCCTCCCGGGTTCATGCCATTCTCCTGCCTCAGCCTGGGCAGGAGTAGCTGGGACTACAGGCACCCGTCACCATGCCCGGCTAATTTTTTGCGTTTTTAGTAGAGACGGGGTTTCACTGTGTTAGCCAGGATGGTCTCCATCTCCTGACCTCGTGATCCGCCCGCCTCGGCCTCCCAAAGTGCTGGGATTACAGGCGTGAGCCACCGCGCCCGGCCACCTATATGAGTTTTTATGACTCTTTCTGTTTGGATTTTTATAAAAGCCCAGTCGTCACCAGTGCAGCTTGATTTTTGTACTATCCTCGGTCACTGGGCTGATATCCTTCCTGTAAGTGATCTGGTTATATGCCAGATTTTGAGCGGTTAATAAAGGTCATCAGAATAGTAAACCAGCACTGGTAGATAATAGACCCGTTTGGCTTTTTGGGACTTTTTGATTTGTGGAATTTTAAGTATCAAACACCCAAATATATACCAGTATATTTAAGTATGTAGCAAAACCACAGCACATACTTGAAAAGAGTGGTGAGCAGAAGTCAGGAGAGATTTCTCAGTCTCAGCTGCGTGTCCCAGGGCATTTTGGCCAGTTCTCTCCTTTGAGAAATCAAGAGTTTGTTCATATACTCTCAGAAGCCCCTTCTGGTTCTAACAGTCTACGATTCTTCTGTCCTTATTTTTAAAAAACATAGATGAGATCCTATTGGGACTAAAAGAAGGGAAAGTCGTATCAATTTATTAACATTAAAAAAATGAATGCCTAATGCAAGTGAAGGATAAAATGTTTTATTTTTAATAAACAAGGTCTTTGTTATACCCACTGAGCCTGATCTTTTCAAATATTTTTGGAAAAGGGAACGCTCTCTGTCCTGTGTAGGGAGTAAGTAGCTGGAGAAGATAGGCTGCCAGGGCTCTGGTCAGAGCATGTTTCCTCTGCTCAGATTTAGGGGGTGGATCAAGGTCTGTTTCGAGGACCAAATGAGGTCTCCAATTTCTAGTGTAGGCACTGTCCTCTTCCTTTTCCGTCTGCCTCCACTTCTCCTCAGCCCTGGCTACATCTTTCTGGGATATATTTATTTCTTATGTGCTGTGGCTCTTTAGGTGTCAAACAGCTATGATGGGAGAAGTTGCTATGCCTACAGAAGGCAAAGTTAGACAATAACTCAGCTAAAGACAGAGAAGATACAAACCTTTGCCCACTTTTTGATGGGGTTGTTTGTTTTTTTCTTGTAAATTTGTTAGAGTTTTTTGTAGGTTCTGGATATTAGCCCTTTGTCAGATGAGTAGATTGCAAAAATTTTCTCCCATTCTGTAGGTGGCCTGTTCACTCTGATGGTGGTTTCTTTTGCTGTGCAGAAGTTCTTTAGTTTAATTAGATCCCATTTGTCAATTCTGGCTTTTGTTGCCATTGCTTTTGGTGTTTTAGACATGAAGTCCTTGGCCATGCCTGTGTCCTGAGTGGTATTGCCTAGGTTTTCTTCCAGGGTTTTTATAGTTTTAGGTCTAACATTTAAGTCTCTAATTTTACACTGTTGGTGGGACTGTAAACTAGTTCAGCCATTGTGGAAGACAGTGTGGCGATTCCTCAAGGATCTAGAACTAGAAATACCATTTGACCCAGCCATCCCATTACTGGGTATATACCCAAAGGATTATAAATCATGCTGCTATAAAGACACATGCACATGTATGTTTATTGCAGCACTATTCACAATAGCAAAGAATTGGAACCAATCCAAATGTCCATCAATGACAGACTGGATTAAGAAAATGTGGCACATATACACCATGGAATATTATGCAGCCATAAAAAGGATGCGTTCATGTCCTTTGTAGGGACACGGATGCAGCTGGAAACCATCATTCTCAGCAAACTGTCACAAGGACAGAAAACCAAACATCGCATGTTCTCACTCATAGGTGGGAATCGAACAATGAGATCACTTGGACACAGGAAGAGGAACATCACACACTGGAACCTGTTGTCGGGTGGGGGAAGGGGGGAGGGATAGCATTAGGAGAAATACCTAATGTAAATGACGAGTTAATGGGTGCAGCACACCAACATGGCACAAGTATACATATGTAACAAACCTACATGTTGTGCACATGTGCCCTAGAACTTAAAGTATAATAATAATAAAAAAAAGAAGATACAAACCAAGAGTGACAGCCAAAGCTGATTCAGAGGTATGGAAGATTGCTCACACTAGATTCGTCTGTGCGATGATGAAAGTGACCAGGGCAACGTGACACTAGATTGGTCGCTTTGCTTCTGGGGAGCTCCAAGAGAGCTTTTGTGAGAAGATGGAGTTAACATGTGTGGGCCTCACTGATCATCGAGTCCTGGGGACCTAGCACTCTGCATGCCTCATCTCATTCTTATCCTTTCACAGATGAGGAAATGGAGGTGTACAGAAGTCAGGTCACAAACGCGGGGCTATACTTAGATCTGGCCAACCTGTGCACCTGCTGTCAGCCACCGTCCCAACCCAGCTGAAGGACAGTCAGCTCAGAGAGCAGGAGGACCCTGCCTCGCCCTCAGTGGAGCCCTGGCACAGTGCTGCGAGACTATCTTCCCTCTTTGTTGCTGTTTGGGGAGTTTGGTTTTACTTCTTGTCTTTCCCCTCAATTAGTCTAGGGAGCAACTAGAACATTTCATACACTAATAGCTGGCAGGGAGCCAGAAATGCTAACTGATGACCCCGTTCCCATAGAAAATATGTAATTTATCTGTTTCAATCAGATTGTTTTTAAAATGAAGCTTTAGGATTGAAATGCTGCGACTGTACTGATACCAGCATGAGATACGACTCCAGAGATTAAAAAGCCACAAAGACTTAGTCTGTTCAGAAGTTTGCTCTTTTGAAAATAATGACTAATGTTCCAACATGATTAATATTAGAACTATGAGACAGCAAACTGTTAAAGATGGAAATGATCCTCAAGATTGTGAAGTTCACACCACCATTTTAGAGATAGGAAAGTGAAGGCTGGAGAGAGGCGGCCCATTGCCCAGGAGACTCAGAAAACAGAATCAGGACTGTGGGTTCCCCACATCGTACTGCCCTTGCTTCCTGGTCCCCTCAGTCACTGCAGTAACCGCCAAGGAAAATGCTGCACAGAACTGACGCATGGTCAGATGTCAAAAGGGTCTCCCACTGTGATTTTCTTTGTTGGATTTTACAATCTCCTAGCCTTTCTGCTGAATCAGTGGGGAACAGTCGAGGAGAATTGCATGAATAGCTTCTTGTGTGTCTGTGTGTGTTAATGGAGTTTTTTTTTTTTTTTTTAGGTTTTTCCATGATTAGATTTGGTTTTTTGTTTGTTTTTGTCCAGTTTTTTTATTTGTTTTTGCATGAAATAATGAAAAAGTAAATCAAGGTTTGTAATTGGTTTCTTTTGACTTAGGAGAGAAGAAAATTATTCTATGAGAGTACCAGCGATATAACATGAGTTACATCTATAATTTTACTCACTTGGTCTTAACTTTTGACACCCTTGCCTCAGTGTTCCTGGGCATGGCTGTGGAAGCTCCCATGCAGGCAGGCTCAGTTCCTCGGGCACTCACAAGCGGAACAGATCAGGGATCTTCTTTGGTATCCTCAAAAAACTTACTTCTCAGACCACTGGGTTCCTTGAGCCAGGTTCCACCTATATCCCTGTTGTTACCTTTATGAAGTCTAGTATGAGCAAGCTGGGCAGAACACAGCCCCCTACGCAGAGCTGCCTGATCCAGCTCCTTTCCCTCTGAGCCTGGGCTGGGCCTCAGAATCTTTGCCATAGGGCTTCCAACCCACTACCAGTATTTGCAGATGAAACTTGAGGCATCCTTGCTAATGGGAGCCACATGGGCCGAGCCCACGGGCCAAGCTTTCCTGCTGACACCATACGGTCTGTAAAAACAGTCACTACAGTTCAAAGCCATGCCTCAGGAAAAAGGAAGTACACGTGGATTCTCTTCGGTGACTTCCTCTTTTACCTCTGCCCCCCACAGAATTAATTATTCTTTACTCTGGAACCTCCTGCACAGACTCCTGAGGTAGCTCTCTTCACAGCTAATGGAAGTGAGCCAGGGGCTGCCTGTTCCTCACCCCTGTTCCAGGTGGGTGGGGTGCTATGTGCCCTCTTTGTGCCCCCACCCTCCTCCACTGCCTGGGCTCCAGCCTGTGTTCATGATGTTTATGGGGTTGAATCAAGTGGATGAGAAAAGACGCTTATGCACCAGATGGTGGCCCTGGGTGGCCCCTGGACCTCCACACTCTAGTGGGCGTGTTTCCCCATTTCCTCCACTTCCGCTCAGGATCCTGCCATGGAGAAGTGGGACGGGCCCAGAGACCCCAGTCGCATTGGAACCAGAGTCAACCTTGCCCTCTGCTCACTGGTTGATAAAAACCTTCTTCTCTCACCCGTAACGCTCTAGTTTCTTGGCGCTCTAGGGCCAGCTTACTGGGTAAGAACTTTCTGCATATTGGCTTCACAAGCTCGGCACAACTTCAGCATCAGGTAAAATAGCAAAAAAAAAAAATAGAGTTCTTAACTCTAAAAAATGTTGTGCATGGTACCTACATGCACCTTTTGGGGCAAGCAAAGATGTACCTGTAAAGTACATTTTGGTGGCTTCTCAGTGTGATCCCAGAGATGAGGAGTATAAAGTGGTACTATACCCAGCCACAGGATTCACTTTGATCCCTTGGCTTCCTTTCTTGGAAATGTCTAGGTGGATAGAATGTCCTCCTGGAGGGGGACTCTGTGCTTTCCCTACAGGCTATGGGCACAGAGGCTCACCTGCGGTGGAGAGGCCTGGCTCCCTGGCACTCCCTTAGCCCAGCTGAGCCTCTGAGGGCCCTCGTCGCCCTCCTCCTGGGTTCCAGAGGTCTGCCTGGTGGCAGAGGCTCCCACCTGGCCTGCTCCCAGGCATGCAGCGTGCGCCGCATGCTCTCTGAAGTCCATCTTCTCCCCACAGCTAGCATGCCCACCAGTGAGACTGAGTCTGTGAACACAGAGAACGTCAGCGGCGAAGGCGAGACCCGAGGCTGCTGTGGAAGTCTCTGGTGAGTGTGGGGAGCACTCGCCCTCCTTCGCTTCCTATTGTCTCAGAGAAGCAGGTGGTGAGGAAGATGGCCCAGGCTGCAGCAGAGCCCCAGGCCATCGCCTTGGGTGTGGCGGGCGGGAAGGCTTCTCGTCCCCCTTGCCACACTTCCTCCTGTGCCAGGGCTATCCCTTCTGCACACCCCCTCCCGGCATTTCACATGCCTCTTCCTGTAAGTAGAGCCTGTGAAGAGTGTGGTGGTTAACCCGGCCACCTGCTGTGTCCATTAGGTGCTGGTGGAGACGGAGAGGCGCGGCCAAGACGGGGCCCTCTGGGTGTCGGCGGTGGGGGTAAAGGCCTGATTCTCCTTCCAGCCTGGGTTTGGCATTTGTGCTTTTGAAGAAGAGCTTCTGTGGCAGAGTTGCTGACTAGAATGTGCTACGTATTGAAGTTTTCCTTTGCTCGTGGGACCTTCCTAACCTCAGGCCTGGTGGTTGGATGGCGAGGCCCTGCCTTCTCGGTGCCTGGCACTTTTTCCCTGGAGCCCTGCACCAGCCTCTCCTCCTGATGGAAGGCACCATTGCATTAACACTCACTGGCTTTTTCTAGATGATTTGGGCTGCGGCAGCTGGCGGGGCGGGGGGTGGCTGGGGGGACCAGCAGTGCAGAATGTGCTGGGCACTGCCTGCTGTGGGGGAGCCCTGTGCAGTTTGGTTTTGTTTGCTGCTTGCTGGTATCCTTCAGGTCTTATCTCTGTAAAGTGCAGGTATCATTTTTAAGAGAACTCAATCTTACTCTTGGCAGAGTTTCATAAAAATGATGTGTTATGGGCAGAATATGCAACCATTTGTGAAGTGATTTTGCCTCCATTCTCTTGCTCTGCCCTCTCTGAGACATCATGAAGCAGACAGAGAATGGGTTTGTCATCCCCATTTTACGGATGAGAACGCTGAGGCCCAAGAAGACACGCTGCTTTCCCATACTCCGCCAGTGGGAGAATGGCAGCGCTGGGACTCCTAGTGCAGTGCTCCCTCTGCGGTAGTAGCAGCAAATGCTGCTGTTGAGATGAGTGGCAGGAGAGACTCTGCTGCCTTCATTTTGGCCCCTGCATCGCTGCCTGCTGCCAGGGCCCGCAGGGAATCTGGCTGAGTCTTCCCTGACCTGGGCCTCGAGGATGCTCGGTCTGCTTCTCTGGCCCTGGCAGCACCCCGATTTCTGCTCTGGCCTTGCCCCCGCTGGCCTGCTGTGGTAACCAGGGGTGCTAAGTCCAGGCTGTATGCATGGCTTTTATGATATCTCAGCTGAAATGATGGGGAGTGTGTGCTCAAGCCCTCGGAACCAGAATCTTAACACTTTTTGTCTTTCTTTCAGTCAAGCCATCTCAAAATCCAAACTCAGGTCAGTATCTTCTTTCTGTTTCTTCGTCAGCCTGTGTGTTGCCTTTGTATGTTCTTGCTTCTGAATTTTATGTAGACTTGCTCGGGACTTGAGTTTTCCTCTATGGGTTATAACATTGATACCAAATTGCAGTCAGTCAGTTGAATCCTATGAGCCTGCCTTAGGGGGCAGTGTAATTGGTGCCAAAAATCTCCCTCAAAACAAACCAACAAGACCCAGTAACGATTTTTGCCTCCCCGTTAATCCTCCTTATTCTCTGAGTCATTTCCCTAAGAGAGCTGCTGCTTGTCACTTTTCTGCTCGAAAGCTTTCCATAGAAAGGGAGTTCAAGAAGTCTCCCAAGGTACTAGCATTTCTTGATGTGCATGCAGGTTACATGTTCGGTTGGTAAAACTCGTTGAGCCATGTACCTGTGATTTGTGTACTTTTCCGTCTGAGTGTTATTTTTCAACAAAAACATTTTCCTACTATATATAAACACTAACTTAAAATAGACAAGGACCTAAATATAAAATAATGAACGTTCCAGAAAGAAAACATAGGAGAAAGTCGTTGTGACCTTGAGTTAGGCAAAGGTTTCTTAAGATGCAACACCCAGTATACCCTCTGTAACAGAAAACAAACAGATAAATTGGTCTTTGTCAAAATTTAACTTCTGTTCTTCAAAAGAAAACACAAAGGTAAGCTTCAGACTTGGAGAAAAATATTTGCAAAGAATATTTGATAAAGGACTGGTATCCCATATGTATAAAGATTCATACATAAAGAAGAGTGTCAATAATAGAAAAACCCAATAAAAAATGGGCAAATTTTTTAATAGTCATTTCACCAGAGAAGAGACGTGGATGGCAAATAAGCACATGAAATGACCATCAGTTGTTACAAAAATGCACATTAAAATCACAGTTGGATACCACTACACGCCTATTAGAGTGAATCAGATTTAAATATCTGACAATGCCAGGTTCTGACAAGGATGCTGATTGGTGGGAACTTTCATACAATGTTGGTGGATGTGTCAAATGACACAGCCATTAAAAAAATAGTTTGGTAGTTCCTCATAAAGTTTAAACATATATTTACTGTGTTTATATTTGGCCTAGACATCCCGCTTCTAAGGTGTTTGTATAAGAGAAATGAAGATATATGCCCATACAAAGTTGTAACATGAATGTTTATACCAGTTTTATTCATATTTACCCCAAGCTGGAAATAACCCAAAGGTCCATCAAATGTAAATGGGTAGGCACGCTGTGGTTCACCAGTGTGATAGAGTACTAGTTTGTATCTGCTGAGTTTTGCGTCCCAGGAGAAACCCAGCTGTGAGTGGGACAGTCTTTAGTGTCCTTAGTAGAGTTTTTCCACGCTGGCCAACATGTTAGAAGCTGCTCTTTCCATTGGAAACCGCACGACAAGAGCAATAATAAAATGCACCTTGCTTGATCCAGGTTTTGGTAAAGAGTTAGCACAACTCTTTCTCTGCTCACTTCCTGGGTGACAGATTTTCTTTTTGCCTAGCAACACAGCTGAGTCAGTCAGGGCAGCTTGGGTAGCCTGGAGATTCCTCTTGACTCAGGCCCCCAGAGGAAGTACCCCATTGTCGTTAGTGAGGCAGCACAGCCTGGAGAGGACTGATTTCACCAACTGGCTGGCCCTTTCATGGCATCTGGGTCGCTGAGCTGCAGCTCACGGCACACTTTACCAAACCATCCCTTTGTGGCAGGGAAGGTTTTCTAGGAGGAGACAGGCTAAGGGAGAAAATATTTTCTCTGATCACAAACAGGAACTGAAGGTGGGTGGAGGACATGCTACTTGTCTGTTTGGCTCAGCTCATTTTATTTTTATGAAAACACGATTCAATATTGGCTCTTCTCCTAAAGGTATATTTTGAGCATCACTAGTTAGAAAGGGCACCTGATGACTCAGTATGAAAATTCATGTCCTACTCAGCTTTGACAACTCTCCAGGCTCTGGAGGAACCTCAGAGATTTAAGAAAGGATTGAAAAGATGCCCTTTAAAAAAAAAAAAAAAAAAAAAAAACTAGCTTTGTAGCACTTTGCTGCCTGGTAAATTCTGTATGGTGATTGAGATGCTGCAAGAGATGTGTATAATAAGCGAAGTGGCTCTCTGCACTGATGGCATGAGCAGATCCACATCCCATATGGTGGATATAGGAACTGCATATGTGTGCAAGTGTAGTTTTGCATCTGCACATGAATCTATGAATATTTAGATTATCTAACCCACTTAAGGGCTGCATATGACAGATTCTGGAGTTATCTCTAAGCCATAAGGAAGGAAACTGATAGCATGATCAAGTCAATGTGATACTTTTAAAAGTCACATTTTAAGACCAACATACTTTTTATTATGAGGTCTGTTAATTTCTGTGCCATTTGTGCTCATCTTTACTTCCTGCACTCCCACCCCAATCTGGACCTCCAGAGTGAAGGCCAAATTGTCTCTCAATCCTATTTATTGGCTACTCAGATGCTGTATCTGTCATCTAGGGAGTAATGTTTGCTTGTCTTTCAGCCGACGCTGGCGTCGCTGGAACCGATTCAATCGCAGAAGATGTAGGGCCGCCGTGAAGTCTGTCACGTTTTACTGGCTGGTTATCGTCCTGGTGTTTCTGAACACCTTAACCATTTCCTCTGAGCACTACAATCAACCAGATTGGTTGACACAGATTCAAGGTACAAGCAGAGGCCATTCCTCTTTTGTTCTGAACTAGAGATTTCTGTGGCTGTCCAACTGCCATTTGGTCTTATCTGATCGCTGCATGATGAAGTATCAGAACGTTTCTAGTGAGGACAAACTTGGTAGAACCATCCAGACACAGCAACTACCAGAGCGAGGGTGCCGTCTGTGCCGCGTAGTGAAGCACCTTGGAGCCGCTTAATGCTGAGCATCTAATTGTCCTAACCCTGAGCCAACCTAGGACCGAGGATTCTCGGAGCTGGAAGGGACCTCATAACCCCTTCTCCCTGTGCTCATCGGGGACGCTTCATTTTCCCCTGTAGTACTTCTGGCAGATGGTTTTGGTTCCCCTGCTTTGAATGCTCCAGCAGTGGAGTGTGGGACACTCATCCCCAGAGACAGCCCCATTCTGGGTTTGACAGTTTTCAGCCTTTGAAAAGTCCTTCCTTTCATCCAGTCAAACCTGTTTTCCCTCCACCTCTCCAGCCTGCTTGGTGGTATTTTCAGCTATTGGAAATGACATTGATAGGTGACTGCTTCTGATATCGTCATGCCATAAACAAATTCAGACAGGTCTTTTTTGTGTGATTGAATGAAAAAATATGTATAACCTGATGGCGTCAATGCAGAACCGTAGGCTTTTAGGGCTGGAAGGTGTCAAGGATTATGTGATGAGCTGCGCCTTCCCATTTTGTCATCAGTGGCACTGAGACCTGGAGAAATCCAGTAACTTCTCCGGAGTCACACACCTAGCTAGTAGCAGAAGCAGGACCAAAGCCTGGTGGACAGACTGTCCACGCAAAGGCCACGTTTCTGTCCTGGGTGAGGTAGTGAAGAGAGAGACAAGGTATTGGCATATTTCCTGTGGGGTCTGTTAGGGAGGGAGGTGTGAGGGTCAGGAGCCGTCTGAGTGTCTTGCGGGAGACCCTGAAGATAGGTGCCCCTTTGTCTTTCCAGATATTGCCAACAAAGTCCTCTTGGCTCTGTTCACCTGCGAGATGCTGGTAAAAATGTACAGCTTGGGCCTCCAAGCATATTTCGTCTCTCTTTTCAACCGGTTTGATTGCTTCGTGGTGTGTGGTGGAATCACTGAGACGATCTTGGTGGAACTGGAAATCATGTCTCCCCTGGGGATCTCTGTGTTTCGGTGTGTGCGCCTCTTAAGAATCTTCAAAGTGACCAGGTAAGGAAATGTGGGTCCCACTGCAAATGTTTTATGAACAAGAGGCGGCGACCATCACGTCCCCAGGCAGGTGATGTTCTGCTCTGTCCCGCATGGGTGTTCTGAGCTCACACCCTCATCTTGACTTATAGGCACTGGACTTCTCTGAGCAACTTAGTGGCATCCTTGTTAAACTCCATGAAGTCCATCGCTTCGCTGTTACTTCTGCTTTTTCTCTTCATTATCATCTTTTCCTTGCTTGGGATGCAGCTGTTTGGCGGCAAGTTTAATTTTGATGAAACGCAAACCAAGCGGAGCACCTTTGACAATTTCCCTCAAGCACTTCTCACAGTGTTCCAGGTGAGTCCTCCCTCCATTCCCCGAAAAGCTCTTTGTGAGCAGCAGCTAAAACTCCTCTGCCTTCTTGTCTGCTCACACTCAGGAAGACAAAAGGACTCCATTTTTTTTCATATCTGCCCTAATGATAGCCTGGTAAATTTTGTGTCATTTAAGTTATTTGTTCTGCATCATCCTCCAGCTATCTATGTTATGTGATGTAATTTTTTAAAGACTTCTAGCTACATTATAAAATAATCTAAAAAATGTTTTTTACACTCAAACTCTTCTCAGAAAACTTTTTGATTGATTTTGTGAGGTTTCTTTGAAATAGACTCTAAAATTCTTTTTTTCTTTGCTACTTTTTGTTGGCAGGCCGGTTTATAATCCTAGTTATAATAGATTTACACAAGAAGCGAATTCTCATGCCTCTATGCTTTGGTGTGTAGTTGGAGGAATCAGAGTGGTAGGAACTGTGACAGCCATTGGCCCCTCTGTCCTCCTCCTGGTACGCAGTGAGGACACACAGATTCTGAGGGTGCCTGTCCTGTGAGGCCTCTGCAGGCAGTGGCTGAGAAGGAAGCGGTGGTTGCAGAGAGGCACCGATAGCTCGGCCGCTTAGAGCAGCAGCACACGCTCCCCTGATTCTAAGCTGAGGTGCTCAGAACCCTCCTCCTTGGACAGGGTCTGATGGATAAGTTTAAAAGACCCATCTGTCCTCATTGCTTTTCCTGTGTGATGAGAGCTGCAGAGTCCTGCCAGAGAGGAAGGGCAGCAGACAGCTGGGTCCTGTGGTGGCCCTTTCCATGCCCAGCTATCTGCCATGGATGAGTCACTTACCCATTTCTGAAGAAATCCAGAGACCAAAGGGAATGATCTGGTCAATTCTTTCCCACCTGGTCATTTTGAGGCATATATAATCTACTGTAAGCCATAGTTTTGTTGTTTGAATTATACTTAAATTTTGGCTGCTAATCAGCCATTCTTTTTTTAAAAAATTTTTCTTTCAGAGAAACTGGTGCCTTTTTTTTTTTTTTTTTTTTTTTTTTGGTAATGCATGCATATGGCACAAAATTCTAATGTTACAAATGAATAATAATTCTCCCAGCCAGCCACAAATTTCCTCTTCTAGGAAGCAACCACCATTAAACAGTTTAGCTACAACTCAGTTAAGCTACCTATAGGTGACTTTCCACAGACAGGAGCTCACTTGACGTGCTGTTTTGCATCTTGCTTTTATCACTTCAGGTGTCCTCAAGAACCTTCCTGCTTGGTCTGTAAAAGGCTGCCCCTCCTTTGAAATGCTGTATCCATGCAGTGGTACAGATATGCCATTGTTCATGTGACCAGTCCCTTGCTGACAAGCATTTAGTTCTGTCCGGTCTTGGCCCACATAAACAGGGCTCCGGTAGGTGATCCTGAACACGTGTCAGAGGGCACATGTGTTGGCTGTAGATCTGTGGGACAAACCCCCAGAAATGGAATTGCTGCTTTAGAGGGTGTGTCCATTTTAAATGTTGAAACCCTTGCCCAAGTGCTCTCCTTACGGTTGTATTAGCTCATTCTCTTCACACTGCCCATTGCCTCACTGCCTCTCCCCTCAGTGGAGAGCATGCTTTGGGATGCCCATCAGATAGGTGAAAATGGCGTTTCATTGTGCTTTTAACAGATACATCTCTTATCAGGAGTGAAGTTGAACATGTTTTCATATGACTCAGAGCCATCAGTAGTGCCTTTTCTGTGAATTACTTTATCTTTTCAAATCATTTGCCCATTTTTGTTTGGTTGTGATCCATAACAGTTTAAATTTTAAAAATATATAGTTCAGATTGAAGATAAAGGAGCTCTGTCTGTCGTTGGAAGAGAGCATTTTTTTTTTCGTTACTGTTCTTGTTCATCTGATTCTATTTCATCATGGATTGAATTATCAAGTATGATCAGCAGAGAAGATTAAATTTCAGGTTATTGGTGATATCTACTCTTGAGGTAGTTTTGTAAATTTACGTGAGACATTTAGAATTTCCTGCTTCTGTAATTTCATAGGTATAATTATCCATTTCCACAGTTGATGGACTATGTGGAATGCTATGCAGCCGTTAAAAGAATGAGGTGCACCTTCTGACACAGAGGGTCTCCAGAGTATGTTGTTGAATGAAAAAACAAGCCAGTTGCAGAAAACTTTGCATAGCATGAAACCCTTTATGTCTGAAAACTCAGAGAAGACACCTACTGCTTGTTTTCTTTGTTTGTAAATGTTTTTAAATTCGTAGTCAAAGTTTCCAGAGAGACACAGAAAGAGCATGCTTTCTGGAGAAGGGACTAAAACTGGGCTGGGGTGTAATGAAAAAGCACATAAGTCTTGGCTGGGTGCAGTGGCTCACACCTGTAATCCCAGCACTTTGGGAGGCCAAGGTGGGCAGAACACTTGAGGTCAGGAGTTTGAGACCAGCCTAGCCAACATGATGTAACACTGTCTCTACTAAAAATATAAAAATTAGCCAAGTGTGGTGGCGGTTGCCTGTGATGCCAGCTACTTGAAAGGCTGCGGCAGGAGAGTCGCTTGAACCGGGGAGGTGGAGGTTACAGTGAGCCGAGATCAAGTCACTGCACTCCAGCCTGGCGATAGAGCGAGACTCCATCTCAAAAACAAACAAACAAAACATAAGTCTTAAGTATAAGGTTATTTTTTTTTCACTCAAATAATTATCTATTTGTGTAGTTAAAAAACAATGTTTTAGAAATTCCATGGGATAACAGATGGATTTGTTCAGTGCAAACTGGACTGTGAAAGGCAGCTTAAAGCAGATCTAGGCAGCCACCAAGGGGCTCTGGAGAACGACTGTGATTTGTGAATCCACCTGCTGGCTGATACTAGTTTGCCTTCTCAGATCCTGACAGGCGAAGACTGGAACGCTGTGATGTATGACGGCATCATGGCTTACGGGGGCCCGTCCTCTTCAGGAATGATCGTCTGCATCTACTTCATCATCCTCTTCATTTGTGGTAACTGTATCCTTCAAGCTGACCAGGCTTTGTTGTTGCCGTCGTTATCTGGTTTTGTTTTTCTTCCTCTGGATTTCTCTGTGGTGATGGTGGTGGTAGTAGTTGTGGCAGGGAGGTGAATGCCTTTACCTTATTAGCTCAATATCTGCTTTTCTTCCATGCTGCTGGGGGACAGCATCCTGTAAGCAGAATTCCAGAGAGGCTTTGAGGGATGTGTTCTGGCTAAGAGAAGCAAGCCCAGGGAAGGAGCGTGAGATAGCACACGTGCTGGTCCCAGAGGTCACTCAGTTTGCATCATGTCTCCTGTACAGGTCCCGAGGGATGGCTGAGCACAAGGCCAGGTGGTTCTTTATGTTATAATTATCGGGAGCTTAGGCATCCATCTGTGACTTCCTAAGACCCTTCGTGACTGATGGGAGCCATCTTCGTGGACTGATCTGTGCTCCCTGGGCTAATTTCACTTTGCTGATCTGTCCATCTTTGGGGATCAAATGTCCATTGGCTAGCTGCTAAATCATGCTGCGTAACTTCTCTCTGCCTTACTTTACTCGTTTTCCCTGTCAAGAGGCACTCTCTAATTCTAGACCTGGAATTGGCCCTTGGATCTGTATTTACCTCATTCAGACCCTTCCTGATCCTGCAGCCTTTGGTTCTCGATGTTTTATCTCCAGGTCCTCCATGCCTAGCACCAGACCTGGTACACAGAGGCCTTTAATGAATGTTTGATGCATGAACGACATACACACACGATACTATACCTGGGTCTTCACCCTTCCATTTTAAAAGGTCCTAATCTGGATGATTCTTCTAAGGGGGCCCAGATCTCTGTAGGTGTTTCCTCCTTTATCTTGTCTGGCTCACTGATAAATTTTCTTCAGTGTGGTAACCTCAGTGCAAACCTGCCCACTTTTCTACAAGGACAATGCTTTGTGCTATAAGGTATTTTATGAAAACCCCATCTTAACACATATACATCCTTCTAGTCCCTTGACTCAGCTCTAAGGCCCCCTCCACCAGAGCCACTCCTGCCCTGTCTCCTACCCAAAGAAGTTTCTTCTACCTCTGAGCTCCCCCTCAGATTTTATCCACGTCTCTTACTGCCTGTAGGTTCTTCTGTCTACTGGATTTTCATTTATTTATCATTTTTTAGAAGGAATCTCACTCTATCACCCAGGCTGGAGTGCAGTGGTGTGATCTCAGCTCACTGCAACCTCTACCTCCTAGGTTCAAGTGATTCTCCTGCCTCAGGCTCCTGAGTAGATGGGATTACCTGTGTGCACCACCATGCCCAGCTAATTTTTGTTTTTTTTAATGGAGATGGGGTTTCTCCATGTTAACCAGGCCAGTCTGAAACTCCTGACCTCAGGTGATCCACCTGCCTTGGCCTCCCAAAATGCTGGGATTACAGAGCCACTGTGCCCAGCCTGTCTATTGGAATTTTGAGTGGGCATTCCTCCATCTCCCTAACTAGATGGATAAACTTCTTGAGTCAGGAATCTTTTTTGTATTCACATATCTCAGTAGAGTGCAGGATCTTGCACATAGTTGGCCCTTGGTAAATGAATGGTCATTCTTTTCTTTTTCTGCTGTCCTCATGGTTGACTCTTTAGGCCACAACAACTTCCTGGACTTAAATCTGCGGAGAAATAGTCCCTGGTGGTTGTCTATGGTTGCATGTTGTTTTCTTTATAGCACGTGTGACTATATCAGAGGGGCTTAGGGAGCTGCTTATGCTCTGTCTTCCCCAACTAGAGTAGACATTCCAGTGTGCGGTGTTTCTTCCCGTGCCCTCAGCACCCACGACAGTGCCTGGCACATTAGAGGTGCTTGGTAGATCTTTTTGGATGAATTCCAGAGCATGCCACTCTTTAGGAGGGTCTGAGTAATACCTCTCAATGCAGATGATGGATTTTTCTCTGGGAAGTTGTTTGTTACATGCTTGTAAGATCTCACTGTGGCTCATCACTCTGGATTTGCTTTCCACTACCCAAAGGAGTTGAGTGTCATTGCAAGACTGGAGAGATTATTGTTTCTTCACTGAGACCATGGAGGGAATACTCACTACAGCTAGTCTTATCACTAGCCCCTGTCTGAGTTACCACTACCCCAGGCCTAGCAGAGGAACGCTCATGTTACCAGGCCATCTTCAGCCCAGGACAAATTGCTTCCTGAGGCTCATTGCAGCTCCAGTGAAAAAATAGGCCAGCACGTCAAAGGCTTTTTGAGTCTTAATGTAATTCACTTATGTTTCTCTCCTCTTTAAAGCCTTGAATAGATTAGTCAGGCATGCCATTCCCTCACAGAGATCTCATCATCTGTTCCTTGTTAGGTTACGTTGGTTTACATGTTCAACAACCCATCCAAGGTAACAGATTGCACAGGACGTATGGGACAGTGCTGTGCTGCTCCTGTCTTGGGGTCTCTGGGCTCCTGCGGTTTTGCCTGCAGATGGCCGGGCATCAGGCAGAGAGAGGTATTTGTCGTAGAAGGGGGCATTCTCTCATCCCTGTGCTTCTCAAAAACATGCTTCACTGCTAATGGGTAAGAAACAGGCATCTTCTGATTTAGGAGTCTTATTCAGAATACTTGTTAAAAACAAAAACATTCAAGAAAGTCATGTATACAACAATTACAGTAAGAGTGAAAAAGCATGATAATTTGTTTAGTCACCTCACCTTTTATTGTGTTTTTTAACTGGAACTGCAATGAGCCTCAGGAAGCAATTTGTCCTGGACTGGAGAGGGCAAAAATCAAGTTCAGGTACAGTGATCAAAGATCGAGCTGCAGTGAGACTATTCACGGTAGTCCAGCCCCAGGTGGCAGTAAGTCAGGCACATTATAGTCAGTCAGTGTTTGTGAAATGAAGGAATGAATGAGTTATCTGTAGACTCTGAAGGTTATTTCAAAGGAGAAATTCTCATACTATCTCGTGCAGGGGGATCATCATTTGAATAACTTGCAACCTTTGAAGTGGTCTATTTTGGAAAGCACTCCCCTGAAGATATATGTTGTAGTTGTAGTATGTGTTTAAAAAAAAAAAAAAAAAAAGACAAACCAAACTACTTTTTAATTATACCATGTTTATATTATAGATTATTGTATATAATGTATAACATAGCTATAGGTATGTAGATGTTTGGACACACACAGAGAAATGTTGAAATTAGTGGGTTTTCATGGATTTTAGTGAATCTTAATTTTACTTCTATAGACTGTCCTTTTACAGGTTTTTCTGTTTATTTTTGTTGTTGTTTCGTTTTGTTTGAAAACCAGGGCTCTGGTACTCTAGTTTTGCTGTGTGAGTGTAACACTTGGGACAGTCACTTGCTACCAGCCTCCCAGGATGCAGAGGGGTGTGGCGTTGCCATTGTTGGCCACATGTAGTTGCATTTAGTAGTGTGTTGTGCCCTTAAAAAGTTCAAACTAGATATTCTACTGAATGTCTTCTTGGCCATCGCTGTAGACAATTTGGCTGATGCTGAAAGTCTGAACACTGCTCAGAAAGAAGAAGCGGAAGAAAAGGAGAGGAAAAAGATTGCCAGGTAACCCCATTTTCCCCTGACGTGTTTGTCTAGGGGCTGTGTGGGGAGCCCTCCCACAAGTGCAGCCTGCCAGGTTCCTGCTTTGTGGATCATGGTTGACCATGCACTGCAGACCAAAACGGATAGAATCTTGGGCAGAAGCCAGGCTCTTGGCTCTCATCCCTTGGAGCTGAGAGTGGGAGTCACATGTCCCCATGCTTAAAGAATCACTGCAGTTAATTTTGGCGTCATAAAATAAACGATGCATTCAATGCTGATTAGCTCTCAGATGAGAATTTTAATAAGATGATCTGTGTAATGAATCCATCGCATTGAGATTACCAGGAAGCTCTGAGTTTGGATTGTGCTAGGCTCTTGTGGTTAGTGTTGTTTCTAATTAAATTCTGTCCTTCATTGGAGCATTGTTGATTCAGAATCCTGATTAGCATTTTTATACAGAGTAACATGGTTATTTGGTTTCTTGTGCTCTTTTCTCTTCTCTTTAGAAAAGAGAGCCTAGAAAATAAAAAGAACAACAAACCAGAAGTCAACCAGATAGCCAACAGTGACAACAAGGTATGTGTTCTAAGATACTTCTCCCCTTTTTGTTTCAAAGTGATTCTGTTGGTATCTCCATACATGTACCATTTATACTGTGGAAGTGTCTTGTGTATCATTCTTGTAATATTTTGGTGTGAAGAACATAGCACACCATATAGGCCGTGGCTTCCCAGGGGGGTTCTGGTTGAATTTAGGCAGTTAGCTGTGTTCACTGATATTTCACCAGAAAACCAATATGATGAAGATTTGACTAGTTTGACCACTTTTGTTTCTTTATTGGAATTGTGCAATCAGGCCTGCCCCATGGTCAGGATCACATTAGCAGCTTCATTTTTAATAGAGGTTTATTTCCTGAGGTGATCCCAGAGTCGGGTGGCTTCAGGGCTACACTGTCAAACGTAATCCCGTTTATGACAGCCCTGGTTGTATTGTTCTGTCTTTGTTCATCGAGTTGATAAATGCTTACCTAGTGGCTATCGTGTGTCAGACACGTGGGATTCAGGAATGAAGAAGACAGGCCCCTGCCTTCATGGGGCTCACAGTCTGGCAGGAAGACAGGAGTGCGAGATGCGTTATCACGTGGTATGAGTGACCGCTGGCACAGGGCAAGGACAGAGCCCTGGATGATGCTAGCTAACTACGACCGGGTCAGGGCTTAACCAGCCTTCTCCTCACCTGCCCTTAGGACTTCTCTCTGAAGCAGAATCACCATCTGGGGACACCCGTCTGTCCCTGCACACCCACGTACAGACGCAACTTTGGGGAGGAATCCATGCCCTATGCTGGACCGCCAGGGTGACTTTTCCCCTCTGAGTCTCCCCTTCTCCTAAGATGTCTCTGTCATCCTAGGTCACAATCGATGACTATAGAGAAGAGGATGAAGACAAGGACCCCTACCCACCTTGCGATGTGCCAGGTATGGTGGCAGAGGCCAGAGACGCTGGCTTTGCTGTGTGGCTTTGCTACTGCTCTGTGACCTGCTGAGTCTGCGGCCGGCCAGCCAGCCCAGCAGCGTGTACATGAGCTGCTAAGGCCACCAAGGCCGTGGGACCAGTTAGCTCCCCTTTTTCCCATGGTCACAGGCAGCATGTGTCACCCAAATTCCAGGTGATGGGGAGGGAAAGTGCAGGTGGGTCAGGGCAGTCCCAACTTCTGCTGGGAGACTGGTCCAGGAGACCCACCGGTGTTGGCGCTCACCTGACACTTTTACATTTGACTGGCACCTTTATTGGCTGATATGGGTGGGACTGTGGAGTTGAGAGCCTAGTTGCTGATTGAGACTGAAAGTCCCACACAGTTTCTCAGGCCAGGGTGAACCAGGAGGTTACTGGGGAAACAGCCAGATGCTGGGAGGTTGGCAGTGAGAATCCCAGCACCGCCACCTTTCATCTGTGGTCAGATCTTATCCTGGTGGGAATCTCATCATTCCCACAAACTAAACACGCTCACCAGATGGGGACACTTCTCAGCAACCCTCACCCCTGCACCACACACTCAGTCCACGTTCTGAAGGAGCAGGAGGGTTTTGATTCGTGTAAGCAGGTAGATGTTGTTAAAGTTTAAGCCAAATTTGCATGTGAAATTAAGAGTAATTCAAACCCATATGTAGTCTTTATTTCATGCCTATAAAAAAAGTATTTCATTTAAAGTAGGGGAAGAGGAAGAGGAAGAGGAGGAGGATGAACCTGAGGTTCCTGCCGGACCCCGTCCTCGAAGGATCTCGGAGTTGAACATGAAGGAAAAAATTGCCCCCATCCCTGAAGGGAGCGCTTTCTTCATTCTTAGCAAGACCAACCCGTAAATACTCCCCTTCTAGTCTCTCACAGCTGCCTCTTGCCAGTGACCCTACAGGTTGCTTGAGGGTGGCTCGGGTGGGGGTGAGGGGAAGTGGTTCACAGCCCTTTCTGAACCTGAGTGTCCCTGGCGCCCTCACCCAAGTCCCCTCCAACCCCTCTCTCCTCCACTGTGGCTCTTGCTCTCAGCTCATCTCTTCCTAGCTGCCTCCTTCCTGCAAGGGTGTGACCAGGTCCTGGGAGGAGCTCCATTCTAGATTCTCCTCCCTGCCTTCACCCCTGCGTGGAGACAGCAACGGGGAAAGCCTTGTCCACCTCAGCATATTCCAATTGGAGCCCACTGCTCTGGTGTTCCATGCTTCGGCCAGCCATGGCAATGTTTCCTAACGAGTGGATCTTCTGTTAGGATGCCTTGTGGGATGAGAATTTTTGTGACCAAGGTCTGCATAGCATCCTCATCCTCATAGATCCCCCACTTCATTGATCAGTTTTCCCAGTTGAGTTTTATCATCATAAGGTCATATTGCACAGTGATATTTTATAGGTTGTAAGTATTCAGTTCAGCTCTATGATAGCCTACTTAAAATAGCATTTCTCATGTTAAAATGATAAGGTGCTCACAAGGAACAGGGCAATGACTCACAAGTACTATAAGAGGAAGACGTGTATTTACTAGCTAGTTTCTAGGTTTTAAATCATCTGGGACTGAGTGGAATGCTAGGGGAGATAAATGGCTCCTGGAAAGGTTTCTAGAATTGCAGAAGTAGTTGCTGGCTGTCAGAGAACAACTCTGTATCATTCATTGGCCGTAGGGAGACACAGGTGGGAAGCAAGGCCTGCTGGCATCCTCAGAGATATGAAGATATGATGGTAGCTTTTACAGCTCACCACTATTTGGATGTCCTTTAAAAAAGAAAGGTTATTAAACTGATATTGCTGACACCTACAGCCGTGTGTGTGTGTGTGTATGTGTGTGTGTGTGTACATATACATATATATATATATATGTTGAGAGAATGGATTTATTTTCACCCAAAGCCGCAAAGCACTCCTGCCCTCACTAGCTTGGAAGTTCTTCCCCAGACTCAACTGCTAACCACCTTCAGGTCCTCTGGGGGATACGCCCAGCATTAAATAGATCCAAAAGGCAGGACTTAAAGTGAGGGGTCACCTTCACATAAGGTTGACTCCAGTTTTGAAAGTGGAAAAATATTTTCAAAGGAAAACCTATCTGTAGGCTTATAAGCCTCTTATAGACTACAGATAGGTTTGTATACATACACACACATATATACTTTAGAATTTAAATATATACAAACATATTATATATATGTATACACACATATACTTTACAATTTAAACATATATGTTTTATGTATACACAAATATGTATATATATATGCATATATGTATATATACATATGTGTGTGTGTGTATATATATTTAAATTCTGAAGTCAAACATTGAGGGTAAGGATAGCCAGTTGCTAACAGGTGCAGGGCACATTGGGGACGGCAGCGAGGTTCTGATGGCCCAGAGAGCCGTCATTTGAGCCCAGGTGTTGGGCATGAGCTGCCCTCCTTTGCTTCATGAGACCACAGGACTTGGTGAGAACTCTCATGCTGGGCCATGAGATCCTTGCATGTTAGCAAATGATGCTGCAACCTTCACCTTCTGAGGACTGCTTGTGGGTCCACTCCAAACTTAAAAAAAATAATGATAACATATATTACAAAATCCGCAGACGGCCAGAGATGTCCTGAAGCCTCAGTTACTGCAGGCCCCTATAAATAGTATGAAATTGCACCTGCAGGACAAGCCCAGGATTCATCTCATTCTGTGTGAACTGTCGAGGGCAGACCTAGCCTCAGTTTCTTCTCTCAGTCAGGGAAGATAAACAGATGAGCTTCTTGTCATAGTGGAAAAACTTCAGTCATATAGACCTGGATCAATTCTGCCCCTGGCCTTACTAGTGTCACTTTAGAATTCTCTTATTAAGCCTCAGTTTCCCCATCTTGAGAAAGACAACAAGCCCCACTTCCAAGGACTCAGTGTGGCGCCCCTAGCACAGAGTTGACACACCACACGTGGTCCAGGGGGGCTGCTTTTGGTGGGCTTTGTGGGGCTGACAGGTTGCTCAGGTGTGCTGGAGAGAGGGCACAGCAGACAACTGCCCTCTGCCTGGCATCTTGCTGCACTGGCCCCACACTCTTAAGGACCCAGTGTGTTCCACCCTCTCTGGGACTGTTTCCAAGCAGCTGCTTTTCCCTGCAGGATCCGCGTGGGCTGCCACAAGCTCATCAACCACCACATCTTCACCAACCTCATCCTCGTCTTCATCATGCTGAGCAGCGCCGCTCTGGCCGCAGAGGACCCCATCCGCAGCCACTCCTTCCGGAACACTGTAAGTCCCCAGGGTGGGGCTCGCTCTGGGATAGCCCTGGCCTCTCTCAGGCAGAGGCCACTGTGGAGATGGGAGCTGTGGAGGCCCCTCAAGGTGACAGCTAGAGTAGGTCTTTCCTTCAGCTGGGGACGTTGGCTGTTTCCAGTTTGTAAGTGCCAGAGAGCTTGTGTTATAGCTGGATACATCTGAATGGAATCATTAATTTCGAACCTCATCTTAAATACTCTGCAGGAATGCTCAGTGAATTCAGGGAGCCTGCTTCTCCTCCTCTTTGCTCCCTACTGCCAATATTTAGGTCCTCCTTTCCCTCCCTGCTCAGGTTTATACTCACCCATTTTGAGATTCATGCTTCGTGGATGCAGGATTCAAACCAGGCATGCCACATGCCCAGGCTCTCTCGTTCAAGGTTGGGGGCAAGATTCCTATGTCATGTAGACTTAACTACACAAAACTGCTAGGCTCCACAACTGAGGAGAAATACAAGTTAAGGAGATGATAGGATGTCGAGTTGAGGTGTTCAGTGGAGAAGAACGTTAGGCCAGGTGCACTGGCTCACACTTGTAATTCCAGTGCTTTGGGAGATAGAGAGGAAGGATCACTGAAGGACAGGAGTTCAAGAGTAGCCTGGGCAACGTAGTGAGACCTCATCTGTACAAAAAATTAAGAAATTAGCTGAGTGTGGTGGCACACACCTGCCGTCCCAGCTACTCAGGAGGCTGAGGGAGGAGGATCGCTTGGGCCCAGGAGGTCGAAGCTGCAGCAAGCCATGTTTGCACCACTGCACTCCAGCCTCAGTGATACAGTTAGACCTTGTCTGAAAGAAAAAAGAATAATATATAATGAATATTAAAAAGTTTCTTCTCTGGGAAGATTTATTATAAAATACGTGATTATGTTATATATTTCACAAGTATCTCCAAAGGAAGTGCTAACCTTGGCCCCAGGAGCCAGTATTAAGTTTGAGTAACTTCATGAAGCAGAGTGCACCAGGCAGAGCCACTCAGACCCTTACATGTTAACTTGGCTGTTTACAATGTTACTTTTCATTGGTAGAATTAGGAATATGCAAAGGGTTATTAATTGGCTGGGCGTGGTGGCTCATACCTATAATCCCAGCATTTTGAGAGGCCAGGGCAGTAGACTCACTTGAGCCCAGGAGTTCAAGATTAGTCTAGGCAACATAGTGAGACCCCATCTATATAAAAATTTAAAACTTAGCCATGCGTGGCGGCGCATGCCTGTCCCAGCTACTTGGGAGGCTGAGGTGGGAGGATTGCCTGAGCACAGGAGGCTGAGCCTGAAGTCAGCTGTGTTCACACCACTGTATTCCACCCTGGGTGACAGAGCAAGACCCTGTCTCTAAAAAAAAAAACAAACAAAAAGAACTCTAGATTTTGGCGTGGCAGGGGTGGCTATCCAGTTAGCTCTCTGTATCCATGGGTTTGGCATCCATGGATTCAACCAACCACAGATAGAAAATGTTTGGGGGTGGCCAGGCATGGTGGCTCACACCTGTAATCCCAGCACTTTGGGAGGCCAAAGTGGGTGGATCGCTTGAGGTCAGGAGTTTGAGACCAGCCTGGTCAACATGGTGGAACCCCATCTCTACTAAAAATACCAAAAGTAGCCAGGTGTGGTGGTGCGCGCCTGTAGTCCCAGCTACTTGGGAGGCTGAGGTATGAGAACTGCTTAACATGGGAGGCGGAGGTTGCAGCAGTGAGCTGAGATCACACCACTGCACTCCAGCCTGGGCAACAGAGTAAGTGAGACTCTGTCTCAAAAAGGAAAAAAACAAAATATTTGGGGGAAAAATGTACTGAATTTGTGCAGACTTTTTTCTTGTCATTTCCTAAACAATTTACATGGCATTTACATGACCTTGGGTATCTTGAGAAATCTAGAGATGATCTAAGGTCTACAGGAGGATGTGCATAGATCATATGCAAACATGACACCATTTTTATATCGGAGACTTGAGATTTTGGGGTCTGAGAGGGTCCTGGAACCAATCCCTTATGGATACCAACTGTACTAAGAAAACAAGTCAAGGGACCAGGAGCAGTGGCTCACACCTGTAATCACAGTACTTTGGGAGGCCGAGACGGGCAGATCACTTGAGGTCAGGAGTTCAAGACCATCCTGGCCAACATGACGAAACCCCATTTCCACTGAAAATACAAAAATTAGCTGGGCGTGGTGGTGTACACCTGTAATCCCAGCTATGCATGGGGCTGAGACAGGAGAATCGCTTGAACCCGGGAGGCGGAGGTTGCAGTAAGCTGAGATCATGCCATTGCATTCCAGCCTCAGCAACAAGAGCAAAACTCTGTCTCAAAAAATCATACAAACAAAAGTACAAGCAAGTCGAGGGTTTTCTGTTAGTTGTCAGTTTTGTAACTTAGAGATGGTGCCCACTGACTGTGTCTATGTTGGAAGGAAACTTGCACCTAAACTGACTCTTGCTGCAGCAGCCCCACCTTAGCTGTGCAGCTTACTTGGCACTGAGGACCATTCAAAGGCAAGACAGCTAGAAGCAGCAGCCTGTTGACTCTCAGGCCTAGATATTATCGTGCAGTTTCAGATTATTACCAAGAAACCCAACCAGCAGAGGGAGGCTGGCGAGTGTGCAAGGCCATCAGGTGTCCCTGGCTTGCGGGTGGGCACCTTTTTCTGAGCATCAGATTATTAGAGAGTTTGGGATTAAGACACACCAGCACATCTGTGCCCCCAGGACTCTGTTGGGGCAACCAAGCCTCATGCTGTTGCTTCCCATTTCTGGAGCCTGGCAAGCACAACCTATCAGATTTATGAAACACGCACTCTGATATGAAGAGAAAAGGTACTTTCCCCATGGTGCGTGTTAGTGTCAATATAAAGAGGTGAGTTATAAAGAGGAAGGCACTGGGCCTGTCTTGATTTGTCCCCACAGATTAGGGTTTTTGTTAGAGAGGATTTTGTTGCTGTAGATGCCCCAATAGAAGAAAGACCTCTGTATCATTTCATCCCATCATAAAAAAAGGACACAAGGGTGGTGTTTGGGGAAAAAACAGCGTTAGGTGACAAACTAGGCCAGGAGCTAGTCTAAAATACGCATTGCCAAGGGATTAATTTACATGGGGGCTTCATGTCTTATTTTTAATTATAATTGCTTCTCCATAAGTTTATTTCCCTGCTGCCTTACCCAGAAATGTTACCGTTCTGCTTAAATAGATGTACATATGTGTATGTGTATTGCTTTTTAGATTCTGCAGTGTTTGTACGTTTTTTAACCTTAGCCGAATTCTTTTAAAAAGGAGAGTGAGAGAATGCAAGCCGAGTGAGGAAAAAAAACAGCTTAAATCTCAACTTCAGCCCGGGCACCAGGCTGCCTCGTAGACCCGTAGGCTGCAGTGTCTTTCTGAGCTACTTGATGCTTTCCACGTTAATATTCTCACTGTGACCTAGGAAGGAGTAAGGAGAAGGTGGCTGAGGCCTGGTAGTGCATGGGAAGGATACCTTCCATTGCCTGGCCAAGAAACTCTGTTACACAGGAGTTCATAAGTCCAAAACCAGAAACCATTTGGAAAATGAATACCCTCTGAAGAGAGGGACTGGGCTTGAAGCAGAGGTCCTCACCTTATTGTGACACAGCCCCCAGGTGACTCCTCTACCTACAACACCTCACCCCTGTGGCTCTCCACTGGCATACCCCAGGCCTACTCCTTGCTCAGCAGTGCCTGTGACTGGCGGCGTGGCCTATGCCTGTGTCCACTCCCTGCTCCCAGCAGCCACATCTGTTAAAGGATTAGGCCTGGGTGGTCTCCACAGTCCCTTCCAGCTCTGCTCTCTTCAGTTCTTTCAAAGCCATGGATCATAGTTGTCATGAAGATCAGTGGCCAAGACCAACTCGCCTTTGCAGATGAGGGTGCTGTGGTCAGAAGCTCTCTGTGAGCAGTTTTCTCGGTGGTCAGACTTCTTGCTGCTGGTCCACTTGCTTCCACAGCTCCAAGGAGAAGCAGGGACCCCCGAAAGGGCTAGCAGGACTCTGTCGACGGGATAATAGATGGTATTGTCACCAATGTGTATAGAGTTGCCTAGACTGAAAATTCAAAGACCAAGTCAGTCTGTTATTTGAGTGGGCCCAGCAAGGTTTTAAAAAAAAACCTCAGTTTAGAGAGAGCAGTGTTAGATGCAGAACGAGGGGCGGGAGGAAGGCAGTCTGTAAAACCATCCCTTGCAGACTTAGCCAGCTCCGCACATGGGCGGGGAAGGGTGCTGACGCCCTGATTACACAGGCTGGAATGCAAGGGAGCATGTGGAAACCACTGGCTCTGACGGATGCCACTGCCATCTTCATTTATGCTTCTCCACCAATCTGATGCTCAGATGAAGGGCAACGTACTTCATTCAGCCAGAAACGCAGTTAAAAATCCAAAATGTGTATAAGCCTCTGATTTATCTGGTGCCACAAGTCATTTGTAGATGCAGTGCTCTCTGATGAGAAAAGCTTGTTAACAAAGCACTCTTAGAAATGAGCCTCTCTGCCTGTCCAACACACAAGACTGGGAAGCAAGTCAGGGTGAGTGGTTAAAGGAGGTCAGGATTCTCAAATGCTCTTTGGGAATGATGTAATTGACCAAAGTGGGCATTTACCAGCGGCTCTGCACTTACCTTCAGAATGGCGGGGTTCTCCTGGGAGGCTGGGTCTCTGACTGCATGGGGGGTTTCTGCCCATAAGCGTGCAGCTGTCAGAGTGTGTCTGAATGCCTTTTCTCACTCCCACATGTTGTGCCTTGCAGATACTGGGTTACTTTGACTATGCCTTCACAGCCATCTTTACTGTTGAGATCCTGTTGAAGGTAATGGATTTTCCTTGATCTTCACATACTCCACAGCAGCTGGAGCAATAATAGTTGCACTTCTTTGTTTGCCTTCCAGATGCTAGGTTACGCAGACTATGTCTTCACTGGTACTTTTGCATTTGAGATCATTTTAAAGGTAACAGGTTACCCGGCAGTGTGTTTAAGGGCTGCTCCTGTGTGTGATACACAGGAAAGAAGCGTGGAGTGCTTTTGATTTTTTATGGGTTTTTTGTCTTTTGTGGTTGAGCTAAGTTTTTTTTTAACCAAAGGATTTTTTTTTTCCTGTGACCATTACAACTTGTTTTTGCTCTTTCTTTTTAATCTTTGAATGCATGTAGGAGCTACTCTGGCTTCATGATAATGGTTGACAATTATATTTTGCTCCTTTAAAAAAATACCCTCTGGAATTTGTCAACTGATAACAGATATATCACTGTGTGTGAACTTTTTTCCACCCTTTCTGACATCAAAGTCAGAGGAAAAGCATTTATCCTATGAAGAGGATGTCTCTCTTTTTGTTTCTCTAACTGCACTGTGTTTTTGGGGACCTAAAATAGTAACACGCTATTTTCTTGCAATAGGATTTGCAAGATGACTTGGGTCTATTTGTGTTAAGGTATTTTCTGTCTGTTTTAATGGATGGGCTTACATTTACACAAAAGGAGCGCCCTTTGGCCGGGGTGACCTAAATGTACTGCCCATGCATGAGCTAATAGCTGCCATTGCTGCATGTGGTTTGCATACTGACTGTGAAGTCTGCCTCATGGGGAGCCCATTCCTCATGTGCTTAGAGTGCTGGAGACTACAGCAAAGCTCCAAGAACCTATCCACAACTGGCCAAGAACCAGAGGGCGTGGTTCCACTTTGGTTCTGGGAGAATGTGGCCCATCAGAACTGTCAGGGTAACCATCTCTTAGCAGGGAGACAAGCTGGGAAATGAAGACTTTCAACCATGGTTTTCTTTAAGCCACTGGGGGATTTTTTGTGTGTGCAACTCAGGCAAAATGTATTTTGCATTGGACTACTGTGGAACTTGGGCTTTTTACAAAATCTTATATAAAATGAAACCTCAATGTCAGGGAATGAGGTGGTTAGTTTTTTGAGGTTGGTTTTTAAAATTTTTTTATTTTTTGGTTCATGAAACAGCATAAAGTCAACCAACATCTGTTTACACCTTTCTTTAAAATCTTCTAAAAATTTGAGTTCATTTTCCTGCCTTTAAGCCGATGAATTTGGTTGACAGTTCTCCTGAGTCAGAGGTGTGCAGTGGGACAGTGACCAGCTCTTGTTGATGAGGCCTCTGTGGGAGGGCCTGTGGATGCAGAATGCACATGGTGGGAGTCAGAGGGGTGCCACCAGAACACTGACCAGCTCGGCTTCTGCCTCAGCTTCTTGGTTTTAGAATTTGACTTCATTTCAAAGTGAACGGGGATATGTTCTACTTAGTTTGTTAGCCTGGTTAATTGAGGTTTTATTTTACTCTCCACATTTTTAAGTTGTTAAATGAATATAGTTACTCATGGGCTTTGGGGAAAATTAAACACAGGATTATTTAAAAGGAAAAAAATGATTGTTACTTTTTAATTTCTGTAGAATTGCTTCACTGACTTATCTTCTGAGTCGTTCTTCATTTTGAAGCTATTTTAGAGAATGGAAAATAAGCTAAAACAAGAAGGATTCAGAAAATGGAGACTCATCCAGAAGTGTCTAATATCTGAGGCTATGGTTCCTGGTGGCCTTGGGGAGATTTGGAAGGCTGTTTGGTTATTTGCTTAAGCTCTGTGAAATTGCCATTTTTGTAGGTCAAAAAGGGTCGAACACTGGCGATTTCATAAGGTTCAATGTAATATTTCCCACCTCTACCTCTCTTATACCATACTTATCTGAGCCTTCTCTAACCCTTTTTGTTTTAAAATAAATAGTGAACTGTATATATTTTGCTATTTCTTACTTTGGGGAACTAAACTCTTTTTTCCATCAGCAATAGAAATCTCACTGGAACACCCATAATATGTGCTCCAGGTACATATGGCAGGTGAGCACAGAGTCGTGAGACTGGCTCAGGTGAGATGCCACCTGGCTTCCTAGCCATGCCTGACACATGTCATCAGACTTGGAGGAATTGCTAAAGATGGATGTGTCATTAAAGACCATTAGGAACAATAAGGGGCCTATGTGGAAAAGTGATGTAGGTTCATAGAGCCTGGGAGCCCTGAATTCAAGCCCCCACTGGGAAGGCTTAATTGAAACAAGGTAGGCTCTACCAGGGCCTCAGAGGGGCCAGAACCAGCGCTTTGTGGGAAAGTGAGCTGTCTGGGCAGCACTTACCTCTTGACGAATGTAGTCCTGTGGAGCCTCTCTTAGACAGGCTCTTTGGACATGCCAACAGTGTGTTCATATTTGAAACCTGTGATGGCTGTAATAAAGCCTAAATTGGTTTTTTTTTTTAAATGTATCCAAAATAAGCTGCCCCTTTTTGATTTTTGTTTGAACAAATTATCTGGTGGCTCAGCCCCATTGGTTTACATTTCTGACTTCTTAATGCACACTTGTTAACGAAGTCATACTTTACTCAAGATTTTGTAAAGAGCCCAGGTTTCTTTTCCTCTGGAGACAAAAAGTGGTAAATCACCCATGATTTGCTTCTAGATGACAACTTTTGGAGCTTTCCTCCACAAAGGAGCCTTCTGCAGGAACTACTTCAATTTGCTGGATATGCTGGTGGTTGGGGTGTCTCTGGTGTCATTTGGGATTCAGTAAGTATCCTGTGGTGTGTGCCCAGAACTGTTGGGCTGAATGGTTTATGTAAGGGATTTTAACATAATTGATAAAGGCTAGGCATCATTTTCATGATTATATTTAGTTATATAGGTTTATTTAATTTGCTCGCATTCCAGAGAGCATTGAGACAATTCATGTTTTCTTGTGGGGTGTGTGTGTGTGTGTGTGTGTGTGTGTGCGCGCCTGCTGCTAGGTTGAGCTTATTACTCTCTGTGAAATTTGCTTTCAACTGAGGTAAAAGATGTCTTGACTGGGAGGGAGGGAATCTAGGTTCTAGTCCTGGTCCCTCCAAAGGCTGATTCCAGGGCCTTGAGGGTGTCTTCTCTCAGGAACCCTGTGCCCCTTTTATATAGGAGGGGCTGGGGCCAGGTGGCCTCTCAGTTTTTCCAGCTTGGATATTGAAAACTTCCTTTGATTTTCAGGATATAGAACCTGCTAGGACTTTTTCTTTGGCCTCTAAAATTTTTCAGCTAGGAGGGAGCCAAGGCTGAAAGTCAGGGCCCCAGGTCTTTTCCATGGCATTTAGCGATTTCTGGTGGGAACAGCCATTGCTGAGTACTGCTCGCCATCCCCGGGGGTGTGGGGCAGAGGCTCCAGTAGAGCATCAGGTGCGGCCTTGCTTTCTTGCTGACCTGTGAGCACTTCTGTTCAGGTGCTGAGCATAGACTATCCCCCATGTGAGCGCACATGCACACACATGCCCTCTAAGCTAAAGAGAAGTGGAAAGGACCTACCCTCCAAGGAAGACCAAGAACCTCTGCCTGGAACAGCCCTCTGTGGTCCTCCTCGCCTCCCACTGAGGGAGCCCTGTGATCATAGCTTGGAAGGCCACTTGCATTAACATCTTTGCAGCTCCTATTAACTCCCAGGCTGTTCATGTCCTCTCCAGCTGCAGTCTTGCCCACTTCCTCCTGAGCATGTGCTCTGGCCACACTCGGCCATCTGGGGTGCAGCAGAAAGCTGCATTCTCTTGTACCGTCTCCTTGTACGTGCTGCTCCCTCACACTGAGCCCCCCTCCCTATTGTCCTTGCTAACCCCTACTCCTCCTTTGGGACTCACCTGGCTATCACCACCCCCACCCCAGAGTCCTTCCCAGGCTCCTCCCAACTCCCATAGGTTGTACTCCCCTGGCCAAGCACACCACATTTACCCCTGTCATGAGCCACACTGGGTTGGAATTGCCCATCTCTCCACCAGACTCTGAGCTCCTTGAAGGCCAGAGAAGCCCTGGTGCCAAAGTGGTACAGCAGGCCTCCAACCTTAAACAGAAACAAACCATCTATGAAGCCTAAAAGCCAGTCACTACCTAGCGTTTACAGTGAGTGGAAAGAACAAAGAGAGTTCATGAGTTGTGTGTCTGCCAAGTTTAGCTGTGCACCTGTCACCTCTGGGAGTGCCATGGGCTGGGCTTGGGAGGCACTGCCTCGTGTGGGCAGGGAAGAGAGGTCACTTCTGAGTCATGGAGAGAGATCAGCCCAGCACCACATGGATCCCATGCTAACTGTGCAGGGATACTAAGGTGAAGATCCAGTGAAATGGTGAATCTCAAAGCATCCTGTCCATTTCTAACATGCTCTGCCTGCCATCTTTCTGCTCCTTCCCTAGATCCAGTGCCATCTCTGTTGTGAAGATTCTGAGAGTCTTAAGGGTCCTGAGGCCCCTCAGGGCCATCAACAGAGCAAAAGGACTTAAGGTTTTGATTCCTCTCCTCCAGGCTGGGCTGGCTTGGGTTGGGGTTGGCTGTAACTACTGGCTCTTCTGGGCAGAGCTGAGCTGAGGCCTGATGGATTTTTAAAGTGGGTTATAAGGACCTTTCTAACCAATGCACCCACCTGTGCCAAGTGCTAATGGCATGTTAAAAATTATGATTTATTTTCTTTATTTTTGGCAATTGAAGATGTTTTTCTTTATAACTGTTGTTCATTTATTACCTTTTTATTAGTAGTTCTTTGTGTTTACTTTAATCTTTCAGTTTTCATGTAGACTGTATAAAAGGCTGCTGGGTTTCTATATTCCTCAGTCATTTATAGGGTCCATGTGCCCATGTGCCAGGCACACTGCACCTGTAGCATTTCTTCTTTTTCTTTTTCTTTCTTTCTTTTTTTTCCCCCCCAAAAAAAGGGAGTCTTGCTCTGTCACCTAGGCCGGAGTGCAGTGGCATGATCTTGGCTCACCGCAACCTCTGCCTCCCGGGTTCAAGTGATTCCCCTGCCTCAGCCTCCCTAGTAGCTGGGATTACAGGCACCAGCCACCATGCCCAGCTAATTTTTGTATTTTTAGTAGAGATGAGGTTTCACCATGTTGGCCAGGCTGGTCTCAAACTCCTGACCTCAAGTGATCTGCCCTCCTCTGCCTCCCAAAGTGCTGGGATTATGTGAGCCACTGCGCCCGGCCAACACAGAAACTCTTGGCTGATGTTAGCTCACCTCGAGGCCAAAATCACAAAGGAGAGTCACATGTCTCTGCCCTCTCTGCAGCACGTGGTCCAGTGCGTCTTCGTGGCCATCCGGACCATCGGCAACATCATGATCGTCACCACCCTCCTCCAGTTCATGTTTGCCTGTATCGGGGTCCAGTTGTTCAAGGTAGAGGAACTGCGTCCAGGCATAAAACTCAGGTGGATTTCTTTAAGGAGAAGCCTGCATTTATTTGACTGCCTGTCTGTTTTGTATCCAGGGGAAGTTCTATCGCTGTACGGATGAAGCCAAAAGTAACCCCGAAGAATGCAGGTGAGCATCCTGAGAGTGGAGTGGGGAACTTAGAAGAGCAAATAGCAGACTTCAAGGATTCACACATGTTGGCACATCAGAAGTTTTGGTCATGAAATAAAACAGGCCTGTGTGCTCAACTTGTGGGTGGATAGATGGTGTTTGTTTTTCACTGAAGTGAAACTCACGTAACCTCAACCGTTTTCAGTATACAGTTCCTTAGCATAGAGTATCCGCGGCATTGTTGTGCAACCAACACCTCTGTCTAGTTCCAAACTTTTTGTCATCCCAAAAGAATGGATAGATGGCTTTTGTGGTGGAGAATCTATAAATGGCGGGAGTTGGGGGAACCCTGAAATAACAATTATGAAATGCCCCAAATAGCTTCCATGACAGCCATGTGGATGATTTCCCCAAATCAGAACTTGAAACTCAACTCTCTGGTGTTCGGGAGCTGGCTCCCTCTTCTGACAGACTTTCTAGACTTCCTCTCTCCTGGCTCCTGTTAGCTATGTCTCGGCCATATTTCCATAGACAAGAAGTGGCAGAGGAGAGACAAGGTGGGAGATATTCATGCCTCCCATTCCGGGATGTCCAGTGACCATGAAGGCAGTCATGGAAGCCATTGCCTAAAGTTTCAGACTATGCAGAGGCCTGTGTCTCCCCACCCGTGTGAGACGTAACTGACTGGGCTCTGGCTAGGCTGACTGTCTGCGTACATTGGTTTGGGGTTTATTTTAAGCAGAAGGTGCAGTCAGAGAGCGCCAATTGCAATTTGGCTGTGTCTCTGCACCTCCAGAGGCACCATTCATGCACCGTTCATGGTGTCCCTGGAGGTGAGCAGCCTAGCAGACACAGGCGTGGGGACGCTGTTTCTTCCCTCTCGAAGCCTCTGTGTCTTCATTTATAAAATAAAGATATTGCACTTTATCTCTTCAGTTCCTTCCAGAAATGAAGTTCTGGGAGAAATAATTTGCCAGAAATAATGGAATTCTTTTGGAAAGAAATTTGGGAATGCCATTAGTAAGAAGAGAAAGGGATTTGATTAAAACTAAAATGCAGGAAGAATATACGTGGGTTTGTTTCCTAGAGCTTACAGAGTTCTCTATGGCCAAGCTTTGATCCTTCAGAGCACGCCTCAAGCCCGTTGTGTATGAGACACACTCACCGTGCTGTGGTTTTTATCGGCCAACGATGTATGCCCGGTGCCTGCCTGGCTGCTCTGGAGAATACACGTTGCACTGGTAGTTATTCAATGGTTATTTGAGCTGCAAAGTACGTGAAATGCAAGGGCAAGGAGAGGAGAAACGGCGCTGGTGTTATGCTCAGCTGTGTGACTGGCAGGCGGACTGAGCGTGACCTGCCTGGAGGTGGGATCAGGGCAGTGTGTCCAACTTTATGCTGCTTCCATCTGTCATGTGTGAAGCCAGATGACCCACACCTGTTTTATTCTCCAGGGGACTTTTCATCCTCTACAAGGATGGGGATGTTGACAGTCCTGTGGTCCGTGAGCGGATCTGGCAAAACAGTGATTTCAACTTCGACAACGTCCTCTCTGCTATGATGGCACTCTTCACGGTCTCCACGTTTGAGGGCTGGCCTGCGTAAGTACGGGGAGCACACAGTCTTGTGCCCAGGGCTAAGCCCTCCCTCCTGGAGTCAGTCCCATTTCTGTTCTCCAGGGTCGCAGGCTTGCCCTGTGGCTTTTTAACCTTGGGCCACTTCTCAGTCATTTCTTGACCCATAGGGCCTCTTTCTGTGTAGTTGGATGATTTGTGAAGCAGGGTTGGTAGAGGTGCCCAGCAGCATCTCTGGGTGGGAGCAGGGAGGCCTGAGATGCCTCAGTCCTGTGAACTCCCATTGGATGTCAGGAAAGCTGCCATCTGCTGCTCCCAAAGAGGCTCTGGATGGTGTCCCAAACCATTCATTCATTCACTCCTCATACTTTGTACTAATGTATGCCAGGTGCAGACAGTTGCTGTTGTGCCATCTCTTTTACTGAGCACCCACTTGCTCATTTACAGACCACGCTGTGCAGAGGCTTGTGTCTCCCCATCCATTAGAGATGTCTAACTGGGCTCTGGCTGACTGTGTGCTTAGATACCAGCTCCATGCAACATGGCGTGTTAGGCACTGTGGAGGAAACAGTGTCTAAACATGCTTCCTCGCCTCAAGCCCAAATCGAATCAGTGTCAAGTGGTCAATCTAGGCAGGTGGTCTGGTGCGTCCTAGATGTGCAGAACAGGGTCCTGAAGAATGGCTAGGATGTTGATGGGTAAAGTAAGAAGAGCAGGTAAGGAGAAGTTAGAATTTGAAAGGGAGAATCCTCTGCGCTTTCATGTTGCTCTCTGCTTCTGGAGCTCCCACCCGCAGCTCCTACCATCAGTGTGCAAATACACCTAGAGTCCTGGATACCTGGTCCGCATGCGTAGACGAGCTGCAGGAGGTGGGCAGGCTGGGCCTCACAGGCCAGCAGAGCTCTTGGGGTGTGTGTAAGAGTCAGATATTTTCAGGAGCTCCTGTGGGATAAAGAGGCAGTCAGGTGGGGCTTGTTCATTAGGGATTTAATCCTGGAGAACAGAGGCATGGAGTAAGACTCTTCACTGTGTGTGGGCATTGGCTCTAGTGTCAGGCTTTGAACACTATCCTTGAGCAAATCATGGTGGCAGCTGAGGAGAAAGGAGCAAACCTGGGACTTGGGGCTTAGAGGAACTGGCTCAACTCCTGGCTCTGTCCTCAAGGAGTGTGACTGTGGCACTTTGATGCCTCCCTGAATATTCCTGTAATGGGGATGGCAGTAACGTCTGCCTTCCCAGATGGACGTGAGGCTTAAGGGAGAGGCTGTGAAAGTGCCTAGCGCAGCCTACACATGGGCTGGGTGCCCCAGAAGTGTTGAATCTGCCTCAGGATGAGGATCAATGGACCTTGAGGGTGTTACAGTAACCCTCTCTTCCTGTTAAGAGTTCTGCTAGGCATACTTTAATTTTAGTGCATGTCTCCGTTTGGGGAAGCACCCTCCCTCTTAGTTCTTTGGAACTACTCTGGTTAGTCACATATTGTCTTGCCAGTGTGTATAGTTTTCACTTCCTCCAGTGTCTTTATACACGAGATATTCTTCTTCTCTGAATAGAAAGGGGCATTTTAGAATATTTGTGAGATCTTTTGATTTTCAGGTCCTCAGAACAGTCCCTCGATGATGACATCCCAGGTGCCCGCTCCTCTTAGTGCTGGCCATTTGGGCCTGAGGCTGATGGGAGAGACCTGGTTGTGTCCAGTGGCCTTGGGGTGGTTCCTAGCCAGTGCTCATGAGAGGAGTTCAGGAGAGGGAGGACCTGGGAAGGCAGCGGGCTGGGCCGCGTGGGCTGGGGGCTTGGCAGGCCCTCACTTGGTTTTTCTCTCTCTAGGTTGCTGTATAAAGCCATCGACTCGAATGGAGAGAACATCGGCCCAATCTACAACCACCGCGTGGAGATTTCCATCTTCTTTATCATCTACATCATCATTGTAGCTTTCTTCATGATGAACATCTTTGTGGGCTTTGTCATCGTTACATTTCAGGAGCAAGGAGAAAAAGAGTATAAGAACTGTGAGCTGGACAAAAATCAGGTTAAAGTCACACACTGTTTGGGCTTCTGTCCCTTGATCAGGAGTGGAGTGCCTTCTTTTTTGACTGATTTCCCCCATGCCCAGAGAAGGGCGCCCACATACTGTCTGTCCCTGGGGCTAGGGCCCTGTTCTAAGCACACCCTCAGCCCATTTGAGTCATCACTGCTGAGCGTTAGGTTTCCAGATACATATGAGACTTTGTAATTATGAAATCCATCCCCAGACCTGGTGGTATGAAATCAGAGAGTGTTTACGCCACCTGCCATGATCATGACCCACTAGTGATGGCTCAGAATCTTAGTTGGGATGCTGTGGCCACTCATGCAGGCATTCACAGTCCCTCCTGGGAGATGGTCTTTAAAGCCGCTTAGGGCAGAGTTTCTTACCCTTGGTGCTATTAGCATTTCAGGCTGGATGATTCTTGGTTGTGTTTCCTGGGCTTTTTAGGCTGTTTAGCAGCATCCCTGGCTTCCAGCTGTTAGACGCCAATGGTTCCTCTTCCCTTGGTAGCAGTAACCAAAATGTCTCCAGACATTGCCAAATGTCATTTTGGTGGGCAAAGCTGCCCCTTGTTGAGAACTGCTGACGTAGGGGGGAAGTACCCTACACCACCCCAGGGAAGTCAGTAACTTTGAATTTGGGACTAAGATTGTACTGGCATCATTCTTGATCTCGCACCGTGTTTTAGCCAATCTGGTGGAAGTAGGAGCCTTTTGCTTGCGTGATGTGGCGAGGAGAAGGGTCCTGTGCTCTGGGCTGTCTTCCTGCACGTGCACTGTGACCCTAGGTGCCCCCTCTGATCCCTGCTGGGGCTTGATCCCTCATCTCTAAATCAAGGGCATTAAAGAGCTGCTCTTTAGAGGTTCCTTGCAGCCCTGAAAGAGTCTACAAGATCGAGATTCTGTTCTGGGAATTTCCCCGGGTCCTCTATCAGTAGCATCTCTGTTTTGATTGTGACATTGCAAGCAAGAATGATCTGGTAGCCTAGGCTTCCTGAGGGGAAGTGGCCCTGGCACGGCAAGCCAACCATAGCTGGCTGTACCCACTGGGAAACGCGAGGACATACTTTTTGCTTTGCAGGAAGATTTTCCTTTGAGTTGTCAGGATGTCCCTGCAGACTCCACCAGTGATTGTCAGGGAGAGGTCTGGCCCAGCAGTTTGCTCACCCAAGGAAGATGAGTGTCAGGGCAAGGCCAGGCCAGCCAGGCAGAGCCAGCACTGAAAGTGTGTCAGCCTCTGAGGTCCAGCGCAAGCTCGAATTGGGGGTCCCTGGAGTCAGCATGTGAGGTCAGAGCAGCGCCGCATCCCAGACACTGGGAGCCTGTCCGAAACCTGCATCCAGAGTCAAAGTAGGAGAGTGGGGGTAGGTCTAGGGTCTCTATGCTGAGCTGAGGGCTCTCGGGGCTAGCGGCTCCCTCTGGGCCTGCTGCAGAGGTTGGACCAGCCCCACTGCCCAGAGTAAGTGAGAAAGTGCTCCAGCTGGGTGCCAACCTGTGTTCAATCCAGCTGTCACTACAGTGCTCCAGCTGGGCCCCAACCTGCGTTCAATCTAGCTGTCACTACTGACCACGCCCTAGGGATTCTGAAATGAACACAACAAGCTCCCCAGCCCAGAAGCTCCCCGATGGACATGTAGATAGCTCCCCATAAGATGTTTATTGTTAACACACTGTGGCTCTGGAAGGGCATCTCGTGTGGGTCCATCCGGGAGCAGCCAGAGGCTCCTAGTCTCAGGGAATGAGCCAGCCCCTCTAGTTCTTGTGAGTTTCTGTTCCTGTGGTTACTTGGCTTCCTTTCCTGGAGGACAGCAAGGCAGGGGAACTATAGATGGGATCCACCTATAGATCCCCCATAGGTGTGATATAGAGGAAAGGCAGTGATAAGGCCTGGATCCCGTCCTCACTCCTGCTTGTGTAGACACTGCAGGGCCTCAGGAAAGACAGCTAAAAGCTCTGAGCCTCAGTTTTTAGTAAGCAAAATGGAAGCCACATGGGTCGGTACCCAGCTTACCCAGAGATTGCTGGGAGGGTCAGAGAAGGTGGTGGAGGCAGGGCCCTTGGTGACTCAAGAGTGGTGCCAGCAGCAGGAAGGGGGTCACTTGTAATCATTTTCACCATCGTTCATGGCCCCTTCCCGGGAGCTGCAGGGTGAGCTCTTTCAGAGCAGATGACCACGGGGTGCTCCTTCCCTGGAAGTGCTCAGAACCCCATTTCTGCCCTTTTCTGCTGTTGCAGCGTCAGTGTGTTGAATACGCCTTGAAAGCACGTCCCTTGCGGAGATACATCCCCAAAAACCCCTACCAGTACAAGTTCTGGTACGTGGTGAACTCTTCGCCTTTCGAATACATGATGTTTGTCCTCATCATGCTCAACACACTCTGCTTGGCCATGCAGGTAAAAATGGAGACAGCCGTGGGGATCAGGTCCGGGCATTCCGCACAGCCCCGTGCCCCAAATGCTGAGGGTGGAATGCTGCCCTCACAGGAGGGCTTTGATTTTTCTGATGAGTCTGGGCTGTAGGTTGGCCAGAGTTCCGTTCTGGCTGACAGTTGTCACGGTAGGAGTTTAAGATCGTTCTTTTGTTGAAGAAATTATCCGTACAGCATGACAGTAGATACCATTTCCGTGGAGCCTGGCGGTGGCGCTCAATTATGTAAACATTTACAGTGGGCCTCCTGTGGTCAGGTAGTGGTTGAGAACTTCAGCTCTGGAGATACACAGCTGTTTCAATCCTGATTTTACTCTGATTTTTCTGTGACTTGGGGAAAGTTGTTTAAATTCCCCGAGGCTTGTTTTCTTTTTCAGTAAAATGGGGAAATCTGTCACACCTACCTTAGAGATAAGGTTTATGTTACAGATAATTCCCCTCAGACACTTCGTTTTTTATTTTTCGTTTTTTGTTTTTGAGACAGTCTCGCTCTGTAGCCCAGGCTGGAGTGCAGTAGCGCGATCTTGGCTCACTGCAACCTCTGCCTCCTGGTTCAAGTGATTCTCATGCCTCAGCCTTCTGAGTAGCTGAGATTACAGGCATATGCCACCGTGCCCAGCTAATTTTTGTATTTTTAGTAGAGACAGGGTTTCACCATGTTGGCCAGGCTGGTCCTGAACTCATGACCTCAGGTGATCGGTCGCTTCAGCCGCCCAAAGTGCTGGTATTACAGGTGTGAGCCACCGCGCCCGGCCCCCTCAGACACTTTGATCTGGGCCTGTCACAGAGTAACACCCAATGTTGGAAAACAAAACATAAGTCACACTCCTGTCCTCAGGTGACTCTCAGCATGGCAGTAAGGTATTTTCCGGTTGATGAAGCATTGAGTTTGACCTGAGTTACAGCTACTACTTATTCCAATGGAAGCAAAAAATGCAATTCAGTTTAATTGGCCATGTCAGATTATAGTGTGGTATTAACAGTGAATGTTTTCAAAAGTTACATGCCTAGTCGATGCTCCACGAGGACAGGAAGCAAAGTCCAAGGTCTAGAGCCAGCTTTTGCACTGACTTTAAGAACTTCAGTACATCGAACCAGCTCTCAGTGCTGTCTGGACAGTAGGTCTAAAGATAGGGATAAATTTTCTGGCATTTTTCTTAATCTAAGAGTTCTTTTTGAATGAAAAGGACTGTGTGCTGATGTAGGGAAAAGTGTAAAATCAAGAAAACACTGCCTTTTATTCAACACAAACTTACATGGCATAAAATTTATCCCTCACCAAATTCTGCCTTTATTCATAGACATTTTGGTGGTATCTGCATTGTGCTCTGGTCAAGGCCCTCAACATAAAGCCCTGCCAGAAGAAAGGGTGAATTCCCTTTATCCTGAGCAGAGGACATGGATATGTTTTCCCCCTTCATCATTCAATCATCCTCATCTTGTCACAGACCTGCCTGCACTTTGTGGGAGTTCACCACGTGACCTTGCAATGCCGGCGGAATTGCCGAGCGAGGGCGCTGGGCTGTGGAGGATGCCCGCAGGGGCACAGAGGGCTGGGAGCCTCCATGTGCAAGCACGTGAGATGGTGGCGGAGGCTCTGAGAACAGTCCCTCTATCTTCATCCATAGCACTACGAGCAGTCCAAGATGTTCAATGACGCCATGGACATTCTGAACATGGTCTTCACCGGGGTGTTCACCGTCGAGATGGTTTTGAAAGTCATCGCCTTTAAGCCTAAGGTGAGTTGCAGAACCCACTTTTCAAAGACTGTTGCTGAGTCACCCTGGAGAAATACCCGCTTCCTGTTAGTCTTGTGTTACTGAATTATGCTAAATTGTTCTGGCCACTAAACTGGGTTACCACCTGAGAACATTAAAATCTGATTAGAGCATGTGTGTACATATGGGAGAATGAATCTGCAAGAACAAAACCTCATGAAAACAATTCTGAGAAACAGAAGAAGGGAGATTAGAATTGGAAATTTGTAAACTGGAGATTATTTTGAAAGCCAGTTTTCTGTTTCTAGAATAATACGTATTATGCTGTGTCAGGGAAACCCGCCTCATTACTTGAGCACTAGAGAAAATGTTTGAACATAACCCATCAGGAAGAATTTGACCCTGATTATACTTTCAGATATCTAGTCTAAAGACTACAGCATCCTTTTTACCCTTTAAGGGAAGTGCTGATACCAGCTGCAGACCTCTCACAGCCGTACCATCTTTTGTTTGCTTAATTTAGAAAAATTTCTCCAACTTTAACACAAAATGAGACATGAAATGTGTTCAACTGTGCTGGACGACTCAACGCGTTGTATCCCCTCTGGGAGGGAGTGAATTCAGTTCCCCACTTGTCAGCGGCTGCCAGATAAGGGGCAGTGTAGTTCAGTGTCAAATTGCATAGTTGTGGAACTGGACTGGATTCAAATCTCTACTCTGGCACTTACAGCTGAAACAAGTTCCTTACTTCTCTGTGCCTCGACTTCCTCACCCATAAAATGAGGATGCTAATAGTGCTGTTTCATGGGGTTGTCATGAGGAGTAAAGAATTACCATGTACGCACTGCTTAACAGAGTGCCTGGCGTGTAGCTCCACGCTGCAGACTGTCGGCCACTGCTGCTCCTACCCGCACCACTGCCTCCTCATCATCAAGCAAGGATGGTCCCTCACTCTAAAACCCTGGATAGAGGAGCCACATCAAGCTGAAATGTGGGATATTTGGCCCTCAGTTTCTTTCCCAGTACAGTCAAAAACTCAGAGTTAGAGACGACAGAGTTCAGTGACCCAGTTAGTTATCTCTGTGTAAGGTATCTGAAGACACTGATTTAATTAAGTTAGACATGGATTATGAAATGGATGGTTTCACATACTCCATAGTTACATGAAATTCTAATTCCAAACTGTTCCTTTCTTTAATTTGAATTAATCTCTATGCAATCTTTGTCAGATCTTTGTGGACCAAAAAGAAAGGACATTTGTAAGTGATTAATTGGGGTGATTGCAGTGGGGTCAAATTTGGCACCTTATGCATGGCCAGATGTTATTATCTACTGTGACTTGTCCATATCTACATACATAAGCATTTCCTCCTTTTCCAAATTCATCTTAATTTCCTTTGAGATTTTGGTTTGCTTCCCTCTCACCTTTACTTCTTTGAACAATATTTGTCTGGACTGATGGAAAAGGTTGCAAAATAAGAACATTGAAGGTACTTGAGAAATGTGACATGGAACCTCTCTATGGAACATTTCCTGGATACCTGGGCCATGTCTTCCCTTGCCAGGTGATTAAGCCTGAAGTTTTTGAAAGCTTTTTCCAGGCTGAAGAGAAAGCGCATTCACCCATGGTGTGTGTGTGTGTGTGTGTGTGAGTGTGTGAGTGTGTGTGTGTGTGCATGTTTGTGCTTACTCCCTTCAGCAGGCCAGTGCATTGACAGCCCAGTAGTGCACTGCCCAGTAGGCTGACAGTTGCCCGGAAGACCTCCAAACCTGGGAAGGGAGTTCAGTGGCATGCAAACAGACAGGTGATACCAAAGGGAAATGAGTAGCTAAGTTATAATTAGTACTGATAGATCAGAGTTTTTAAATGGTTGATTTCCGCTGGAAATTGTACTGCTTGTAGTTTTACTCAGCAAGATATCTTCATAGCATTAGACAACCTCACATTACAATTGGGAGAGCTTTTAAGACAGTAGCAGCAGCATCTCCACACTTGAAGAGCACTGTCGCTGCGTTCCCCATGGCCAGGGGAGGCTGAGTTTATATCGTGTGCCTGGTTGAGTGGGAGAGTATCAGTTCACCAAGAAGCAATGCCCTCCTTAAAATTTTTCCTGCCCTTTTTTTCTTGTTCTTCTCTTTAGTGTTCACAAGCCCAGCCCAGGCAAGTGGTCACAAAGAAGCCAGGGAGGACTCCTCCCTCCTGGTCAGTGGGGTAGTCGGGCTGAAGAACAAGGTTTTCGAGGCTGCAGAAGGAGGAATATTCTAAGGAGATGGCCACATGGGACCTCAGCCTCATCTCAGGAGAGCCTTTGTCTCGTGGGAGGAGCTTTGTAACGGGGTTCCTCATGGCAGGGTTCTCCACCGAGTCAGGCATACCTTCTAGGAGGACTCATCAGTATCTCTGTTAGGGGACATATGATGGCAGGGTTTCAGTTGCTTCATAAAATAAATATACAAAGTGAGGTAAGACAAAATTCTTACTGGTAGGTGAGAAGACATTCCTTCTCCGAAGGAAGAGTCAAAGAAAGTTGAGAAATCTGACCTTAAGGACTTATTTTATATAAAGGAGCCTGATGCAGAAACCGGGCCTCCTAAGAGAGCATATGTAGAGGGAAATGGCCTAAGGCCATGGGAGATGAGATGACCCAGCCTCTGCTAGCCCGGAGGGAAGTGGGAGGGGGACCGAGGGAGGAAACCCCACACTGGGAGCCTCCATGATGGAAGAGGCCATCTCACGTCATGGGAAGAGGTGTTTTGGAGCACTGGTCGGGCAAGAGTGGAAGGTGGTTAGTAGCCGAAGCGCAAAAGCATCCCGGAAAAGCAAGCAGGTGATTTAGCTGATTGTAGGTTCCCGAAGGGAAAGTCCACCAGCTGGGCATTGACCTGGTGCAGCCTAGGTCATACTTTCAACTTGGGGTCGACCGGGCCTCTGTAGGGTTTTCAAAAGCAGGCCCTAGTTTAGGTGAGACACAAGCCCCATTCTCCAAGCCTTTCCCTCCAGCTGCTGAAATTCTCCAACAAGTTCTCTTGCTCCAAGGAGGAAGATTGACTAAGAAGGGCCTTTTTCAAAGTGCTGGCTACAGCAGGTATAGAGAGCACTTCTGTGGAGTAAGAAGAGCCTGGTCTATGTGGGATTCCCTCTTTGTGGGATGTTACTATCTGGCGTTTCATCCAGGCTGCATTCTAGGCCAGGTTGTTTGCTGCGGTTACCGGCCTTCTCCAGTGAGCCATACTTTGTTCCCATCTTAGTCCTTTAAAGCACTTTGATCTTGATTCAACCCTGAAAATATACTAATTTATACTCCTAGCTACTTGGGCTGGAAAAAGTAAGGAGAAATTAGGTCTGGGGAAAGAAGAAAGAGTTTTGGTGCTGTCCTAATGCTGCTGGGCAGAGCTGATGCAGAATGGGCACTGGGTCCTCTGGTCCCGTCTGCCTTCAAGGGCTCTGTTTGCTGCTCCAGGGTCCCCTGCAGGAGTAGAGCTTCTTCATGATCATCCTAGAGTACCTTTTCCACCTGCCAGAGAGAAAATTTGATACTGTTTTTTTCAGTTCTTCATGACCCCATCTATTCTAGGAGATTTACTTTTAATGGCAAATAATACTTGAAACCAAATATTACTGTCTTTAGAACTTTATGTTGGGCTTCTTTTCGGGCTCCATCCTGTCCTTTTGACATTGAGGTTTCCCAGAGCCCTCTCCTGGTCCCCTTCTCGCCTGGTAAGATGCATACATGCCAGAGCATTAGTGGCCACCTCTGTGGCATGCGGACCTGCACTGCCCTTCTCTCTCCTGAGCTACTGTGCCTGGCTGCCTTCAAAATGGTCTCCTCTGGCCTCAGCCCTTCTACCTACTCCCTTTGTAAGCCCAAAGCTGACCAGACCACTCTTGCAGTGATATTTTGGCATTGGCCACCTATTGCTTGAGAAAGCGTATACAATTTTCTTAGTCAAATATTCAAAGTCCTCCATGAAGCACTGGCCCCTGTGTATTTCATTTCCTGCCATTCCCTCCCTGCCATTTCTTCTTCCCCACCCCATCCCAGAGTGTTGGCATGCTAGACCTCTCCCTGCCTGTGTGCCTCTGCCTGGATGCCCTGCTTCCTCTTTGTTATCCTTGAAGGCCTGAGGGAATTGTTATCTCCTGTGAGACAGCATCCTCACCAGCCCAGCCAGAGCCAGCCCTCTCCTCTGCTTGTGCATCTGTTGGGGGCCTACTATGCACCATCCTTACCAACGCTACTCCATGTCTGCCTCTCTGTTTGTTGGTGAGCAGCTGCTTGAGGTCTCAGGCTGAGTCTTCTGTCTCTGGCTGTGTGGTGCCTCACGTGATGCCTGCTTCCTGGTGGTAGCTCAGTAAGATTGGTGGAATAAAGAAAGGAATAAAGGGATGATCCTGGAGGTGCAGCCTCTGGACATGAGATGATACCTGCTTTTCTATCACAGGGTATCTGGGTAGAGCAGAGTGGAACACATCTTCCCTTAATCCCCCACTTACCTTTGGAAAGGCTTTTGCTAGTTAGAAAGCTGTCAGGCATAGTTTCTACCAAAAGTTGGCCCTTTGGGTTATCACTTGGGTCAGATGCTACCCAAATAATCCCTGCCAGAAACAAGGAAGAGATCTGGCTGCCATGGTCAATGACAAAAGGCACATTATTTATATAGGCTTCTTCCAATCTGCAGATGAGAGTGAATCTAGGCAGCAAAAGGAATCTGGACTTGGGCCACTTTTCTTGTTTCCCATTTGCAACCATTCCACAAACATTGCCCCCTTACCATGTGCCGCACCTGTGTCATATCCTGGCAAGGGGTCCAGGAATAAGAAGAGGTGTGCCTTCTGGGAACCCACTGTCCAGCAGGAGACAAACATTGATGGATGGTGAGAATAGTATTGTTCTTAGAAATAATGGTGCTTCCTGACCCTGAGGCCCACGTTAGTCTGATTTATAATTTTAAGAGTCAGAGTCAGAAATGTTTCTGCGTAACACACATTATTGCATGTGGCTGACTTGCTTGGTGTTTTCAGACAGGTAGAGCTGGACACAAAAATAATATAGATTTGACTGGTGGTTCTACTTGAGAGGTTCTGGCCTCAGAATTCAGTTGCAGGAGAACACATCATCATAGGCCAAGAGGAGAGAGCAGGGAGTGGGGCCGGGCCCTCTGTTAGGAGTCATGTCTTGTCTTATCTTCTGGTTACAAAGGCAATATGGTGCCTTTGGTGGGTGAAGGGTGGGGGAACTGAGTCATACCACTTGACAGTGATTTTATTAAGCAAGAGGCTACTAGATAGGGAAACAGTATGTGGGAAGAATGGGAGGGCTGGCATTTTCTCCCTCCCCTGGACTCCTGTCAGAGCCACCTGGTCAGGGCCTGTGATTTCAGTCACCTGCCTCCTGCTTCCTAGATTAAGGGTGTCCATCACCCTTCAGTCCATCAATCATTCTGATTTGGGCACAGTTTTGTGAGTGTAACGGGTTTCTGGAGAGAGAGTCAATGAAATTGCCAAAAATTTCCAACATCCCAAGGAAATGTTAAACCCCTATTGTGCTGATTTAAAGGGATTTTATCCATCACAGCACACCATCATTGAGAATATCTTATAGGCCGATAGAAATGGCCTGAAGGAGAGAACACTGATAATTCTGGAGAAGAGGGAGAGAGGAGCTGTTCAGGAATAAAATCTCAAAGCCAGAGGCTGGCCTCCAGCACCCATGTGGTGGGTTTGGCCTCTGGAAAATGACATAAATAATGGAGAGAAGCAGTGCACATGGTACAAATGCAGGCGGGGCTGGGGCACACTCCACAGCAGGTGTGAAGGGCGGACCCTGGGTCTCCTCCACCCTGTCAGTACTCTGGAGCTCTAGTTGCTACTCATGACCAAATGTTTGATCAAGGTTTAAATACCTCCCTAGAGGGGAGGGGAAGGATCACTGCGCTTTCTTTAGCTTTTGAGTTACTCTTAACTCCGGGAAGAAAAGGGCAGGCTCTGCCCCTCCAAGTGTGGTCTGTGGCACTGCCACCAGTCGGAGAATTGCTTGTTATCCATTCGCAACAGGGGCTGTCAGCTCTAACACTAAGCACATTGATTCAGCTGGCTTTCTTGTTAGGAGACTTCCTGGATGAAGGAAACTCTGCTGTGTTCTCTTACAACCTGAGGCTAGCTCTTGATCTCACCTCTGACTGCTGGTCTAGACCTCAAAGGCAGCCCATCTCTGCTCAGTTTTGCCAGTCAAGAATTATGAATTCATGTAAAGGAAAGCTAGAAGGCATAAGCTGTGCTGGTTTTAAAATAGACCTTCCCATTAGACTTTTATACATAGATTGTCAGATTTGGAGCTCACAAATTCCTTTGGTCTGCTGATAGATGGGCCAGGGAGGGTAGCAGTCAGTGAGGGTAAAATGGGAGAGAGGCATTGTGATTGTAGGGCGGGGAGAAAGGTGGAGAGTTGGTTAGAAACCACGGCGGTTGGGTAGGGGGATCTTACATTATTAAGATGAAATTTAAGAAGCAAACCCTAAGTCAGTGTCGTAGCTCCCCCGTAAATGCACCTGGACTGATGAACGGTGACTAGAATAAACATCTCTACTCCAGCTGTTAGGACAGTCAGCACGTCCACATCTTCTATACTGTTGCAAAAGGCTGTGGCTCTGCAGTGGCTGCTTCTGGGTCTGCGTTTCATCACAAGTTTCTGGGACCTGACACCTCAAAGTACTTTTCGTTCTGATTTTCTTACTGCAGCTCTAAATGTACCCAGTTGTAAACATGCTGGGCCTCGTTTTATATAATTTGTACCTGAATTTTCATTTCCAAAAAGTGTCCAGACTCTTTGGAAAAACACAGTTGGTTTATAGACAGAGCTGTTGATCTTGACAGCCAGTCCCTTGCCCCTTTGGTTCTCTGTGCAGTATCTCCCCACCTCCCTCTCCAACCGGGAGCTTCCCAGGGGTGTCAAGAGACCACAGGCACTCATTTAGCACCTGCTGTGCTGATGCTAGAAGAAGATGTAAAATATCTGGCACATACATATAGATTTTAAGTCACAATTGTGGAAATGTTGTACTCTCAAAATTGTTGCAAGATAGGAGGACCTGAACAAACAACCAAAGCTGGATGACAGGCAGGGTACAAGTTGGTGGACAAAGGAGACATTGCACATGCCAAGCACTGACTGGGTTCAAGGCTCTGGCTAGATAATGGGGTTAGAGAAGTTGGGGGACTGAATATGTAGCACAGTCATCATCCTTCAGGGCTTTTGGTTGGTAGAGCTGCAGACAAAGACCCCACGTTCAGCAATCAGTACGTAAGAGATTCAGAGTCAGCATGAGGGAGTGCAGACAGCCGGGGCTGGGAAGGTTCCATCAAGGAGCATTTATCTGACCTTGAAGAAGGGTGAAGTTGAACAGATGGAGTTGGGGTTAGGCAGTTAGGATTGTAGAGACATCAGGAGGTGGGGAGAAACCTGGTGCTATTTTTGCAGGATGGGAAGGACTCCTCTCAGCCTAGAGGGTGAAAGGTGGAAGGGAAAGAAAGCAAAACCTGAGATGGAAGAAGGAGCCTGTTGGCTTCTGTGGAGGACAGGGGAGCCCTGGAACATCCTCTTCATTCCATACTCTTTTCTACTATAGAACCTGCCTTGACTTCCCCCCACTAAGCACCACCCCCACAACCAGGAGCCAGTGTCTCTGCCATGACACTGTGCTTCACGGTGCCTGTGTCCCTGTAAGCCATTATCTACCCGTCTGTGTCCTCTACACTGAGAGTTCTTTGAAGACAGGGACTTGTTTCAGTCATCCTGCCACAAGGCATGGCCTTTGTAATACAGGCTGGAATTGCAAGGACTGGAGAGCGTTGCTGCTCCCTTTGAAGGAGCACAGAAATGGAAGTGTGTGCAATGCCTGGTGACAGTGCTCTTTAAGTGGGGTGAGTGGAAATTCTAAGGAAGGAGTCCATCAGCTCATGAGGGTTTGGGATCATCCCTCTGGGTCCCAGGACAAGGTTGCCAAATTGCCTTCCTCGGCCCTGCAGATATTCTGCTTGGTTTGGTGACACTCAGAACCATGAGTGTGTGTGTGTGCGCGCGTGCATGTGTGTGTGTGTGCGTGCACCTTCTCTCACACATAAAGGTGCACAACCACCCTGCTGTGCACCTTTCCACCAGTGGACAGTATTGTTACCTCCCCTTTGGCTTTCCCACTCCACCTGGGTGCCATGGGTGCGGCAGGGACTCGGATTCGCCCCTATATGGTCCGTGCGGCGGGTCATTCATACATGCTCATAAACGTCTGCCCTCGCCTGCTCTGTCCAGGGGTATTTTAGTGACGCCTGGAACACGTTTGACTCCCTCATCGTAATCGGCAGCATTATAGACGTGGCCCTCAGCGAAGCAGACGTGAGTATGCACCTGGCGTGGCCGCCACCTGTGTCCTCTCTTCTCTGTCTGTGCATACTCCGCTCCCTGCCCTGCAGTGGCATCACCTGGACAAGTCACAGATCCCAGTCACTTGATCTGAATCTAGGATTTCCTAATGAGAGCTGTAGGCAAGAAGCATTTCAGGGTAGAGCCTTATCCCAGGCCTTTTGTAGACACAAATCACCTTTTGTAGGACAGGCCTTTTTGCAGCATTTACCCCGGTCACTAGTAGGCAAGGTAAGATAGGATGTCTCTAATTGTTTTCATTTGCTGTGTCAGAAGTGATACCCACAGTGGCGTATCTTTAACATGTTTATTTTAGGGGGATGTTTCAAGTAGCCGTGTGGCGCGATGCTAGAACGTTCCCCTTTTATAACACTGTCCTTTTCTTCTTTTTTCCTGTGGTGCTTCCTCTCCTCTGTGGCTTCTGAATGCTTGCCCTAACAGCACTATTTCACTGATGCATGGAACACTTTTGATGCCTTAATTGTTGTTGGTAGCGTCGTTGATATTGCTATAACTGAAGTGAATGTAAGTAGCAAACTTTGTGTCCTATATTGTGGTTGTTTTCATTCAGTCTGACTTAGAAGAGACTAGAGGCCCTGCCCTTGAATCTCCACACACTTTAGAAATCCAGACACAAATTTATTTTGAAAGACTAAGGATAATTTGTAGTTTCCTCTATCTCACCCCATCTCTATCTCCTTCCCCTGAGGAAGAGTGGGGAAGTCTATGTGGAATCGCCGTTTGGTGCGAACAGTATTTCAAAAGATCCAATTGAAGCTATGAGGGCTGGGAGTTAATTGTGTGTCCGCGTGAATGTTGTCACTCACCAGCCGTGTGACCGTGGAAGTCATCCGAGTGCTGTGTGCCTCAGTCTTTCCAGCTGTACATGGAGTTACTGATGTGCACCCTTGTCCCCACGATGGTTCTGTGAGGGTACAGGTGGGAGACCCCACAGCCAGCTATGCCCTGAGCGTATGGCGGCTGCTGCTGGTGCCCTTACCTGTACCGTGTCTGCTCTGAGTCTGACTGGTGACACTGGTGAACGTCCCATGCCCAAAGGGGGAAGCCAGCCAGTGGAAGGCTGCTTGGGGCCAGGGAAAAGAGGGCCGAGTGCAAACCAGGGAAAGGGGGTGAGTCCACATTTGTTGCATCCAGTAGATTCATTCGAGGGGGAACAAGGGCACTAGCAGCATTGTAGATGGAGTGAACCGCTCTCCCTAGAAGCACTTTGAGCACCTTGCCCCCTGCAAAATTAAGAAGCATGAGAAAGGGAGCTCCTCCTTCCGCCTGGCTCCCCTTGGGGCTGACCCGTGCCAGACAGGAGGGGCTCAGGCAGGCAGAAAGAGCCCTGTCTGCCTGATCAGTTCCCAGTTCATCAGCAAGTCTTAGCGGGCGTCCAGTGTGTGTGCCCAGGCTGTGCAGAGCCTTTTGAGAGAGTGGGCGGAGCACAGGGAGGGACTGTTGTGTGGTATTGGCTTTTGCTCCACAATGTCCAGCCCACCCCCTGCCCCTGATGCTCTGCCTGGTGACATCTGCAGGGTTGAGGGTTATAAGGTCCATCCTGGTGCCCAGACAGCCTGCATCACACAAGGACTGTGAAATCCCTTTATGCCACCTGTCTGGGGCCATGCTGATCCTGGCGTGTGAATAGTAAGATAGCCACCAGCCTGGTAATCCCAAGACCTGGCAGTTGCAGCCCTAGTTCCAAACTGACTTGGATTCCAGCTCCCTCACGGGCCAAGGAGGGTGAAACACATCTACCACCTTGCTGCAGCTATGTTATAATGATAAAATGATCTGAATATTTGGGAAAATGCTTGCTAAAAACCCCAAAGTTTTAGGGAGATACAAGTATTATTCTAAAGTGTACGTTATCCCTGTAATAAGTAAAATGGACTGTCAGACATGACTGTGCCCATGAGGGTGTGATTTAAGCCTCGTCACGCCACACTATGACAAGGCACTCAGATGGTATTTTGCTAGACCTAGGTATACACATATTCCAACTTCTAAAGGCCAGACATGTAAATTCTACTTTATGTGAAATGTTCCATGTGTCAGCTATAAAATTGCCATTCATGATATGTAAATGATGCTTGGTTGTAAAATAAGCTGGTGCTAATGGGAGAACAGCAGGTCCCTAACTGGGCTGCCCTGAGCTCTCTCCCAAGTTTATGGCTAGACATCTGCCAGCTTAATCATCTCACAATGCAAAGTGCTTACAATCTACGTGGAGGTGTATTTACATGAAAATTCTGGAACATACCCTTCTGTGAGTCAGAGATGGTCTATAATGGAAACGAAATACAATAAACTAGTAGCTCGGCATCTCTCCCTGGACTGCTCAGTGCTTCAAGTGCTGTGCAGGTGGTGGGTGTAAACACTTAGCTTTTGGGCACCAGGATGTGGCCAAGGTCTGTGCACCTGGGGACACCCAGCTTTCTCATGCCTGACCTGCCTGCTGGCTGTCAGGGGTGTAGCACCCATGTACTCAGGGACAGCACACGCCCGGCTTCCTGGCTGCCTCACATGTGCTGCAGGCTGGCCCTGCTCCTCCCGCTGCCCCTGTCCCCTGTGGCCCAACTTTGTTCCTCGGTGTCTCAGTGTTGCTGTGTTCACCTTGCACCAGTCAGGAAAGGGGCAGGTCTATGCTGAAGGTTCTAGTTAGCATTTGACACTGGGGTATCTGTGCAACACAGGATTTCAGGGGGGCCCTTGTTGGCATGCAATTAAACTTTCCAAATCACATAGGCAGACACTCCCATAACGTGCTTTCAGTCGGTGACCTTTTTCCTGGTCAACTGTGGCCCGAGACCAAATATATTCCTCAACTGTGGCAATGCCAGTTCCCTACCCCGGGCCAGAGCAGAACACCACCTTCAGAAATCTCAGTGTCTCCCTGCTGGGCCTTGGAACAGAGGGGTTGCTCAAGGCCACCTTCACATTTATTCCATCTTTCAACACACATTTCCCGGGCATCTACCACTTACAGGCTCTGGGCTAGGCTGTTGGGAGGCGCAAAGATAAAAAAGGACTGGGTGTCCTTAACCTCTGGTATAATAAAAACATGACAGTGGGACTGTTGGTTCCGACACCCCACTCCCCTCCACATGTAGTTCCCCTGGGGAGCAGTGCACATCACATCCTTGGTGGCCTTGTCCCCTGAGCTGAGGGGTCAGCGGGGCATGAACACCTTTGGTTCATCGTTGGCTGGTTGTAGCTGCCATAAGTCATCATTGTTTGCAATGTTTAACCTGCTGTGCTGTCTTCCCCAAACTCTGTTGATCTTTCTTTTCTGTTGCCTAATTGATTTTCATGTTGGTTTTATTTTTAGAAAATTGTAGCGGCAAGTATATATAAGCATATATACGGTGAAGTCGTTAAAGCAAAGCACTTCTAAAGACCGTGTGCTTGTTTTTGGCCTCTCCACCTTTGGTTTTCACTATGCTTCACAGGACGTGCTAAGGATTGGTTGCAATCATCTAAATTGTTCCCCATCCCATAGACTGTCATTTCCAGCCTGGGGCCATCTTGGTCAGTCACGCTTGGCTCTGTGACTTGCCAACATAGTCTTCCAGAATGAATTATCTGGCTGAGAAATGATTGAATTCAGCCTGCATTTGTATTCTTTGCAAAAACGTTTTGGGTAGTCCTTTGCATGGTCCTGTCTGCATGTGCACCAGCCTGCTCCATCCTACTGTCCCCCTCCCATGTCCCCACACCCCGCTCAGTTCCTGGTTTGGGAGCACTCGTGGACTTATCTCTATCACGTTTGGTCCTAACCTCACCAGGCTGCTAAAATGTCACACTATGACTGGTGGGCTCCCTCTTGCTCCATCCGTCTTTGATGCCTGTTTGTTTCTTGAATGATGAAATGACCCAGCAACATATTGTCCCTAACCCAGGGATGGCTGTCACTGACATTTGTCTCTTCTCATTATCATTAGTGTCTGGGAGGCAAAACACTTGTTTAGAAGCTATGTCTGTCTTATTATTACTTACTTTGAAGGAGCAAGTAAAAAGTCATTAGGGAGCTCCCTCTCGGAGACCCAGGAATGGTCCCTGCCTTTTAAGGTGTGCCATTTGAACCAGGTGGCTGAGAGTCTCACTCATCTTCTTTTTCTGACCCCACAGTAAGGTTGTGTAGTCCCCCATTTCATATGCAAACCCTTTCCCAGGAGCCAGCTTAGCTGGGCACTGGGTTGCGGACACAGACCCAGCAACCCCAAATAAAGAAGCCCACCTCCCAGAGGTGTTACCTGTGAGCTCAGAAATAGTCAGAGGGAAGCTCCCCCAAAAAACTGGCTTCTCCACCATGCCTCGGGTTACTTGACCCAGCTGTTCTGGGTTGCTGGTTTGCTTCCTATCTGAGTTAGAAAACTGCATCCTCTCAGCTCTTCTAAGCACAGATAGAAATTTATACAGAAAATGAATTGGACTGATTTCATTGATTTCACTTGGGAATCTCAGGGTCTTTTTGACTTCCACAGTTGCAGGGGGCTGCCCCAGGGTCTATGTGGTAGGAGCCTGCTTGAGAGCCCTGTAGGAGGAGGCTCGAGGGAACATCCGCAAAATCCCAGGAATCTAAGGAGCTTTCTGGACCCTGACATGTAGTCCAGCCTCCTGAGGCTAAGGGGCTGTCTCCTGTAGGGCTCCCAGTTGAAGAATGTGACATGTTAGGGTAGGAAGGAACTGCCAAGTTTGTCTTGTCTAAGCCCTGAGGTGACACTGGAATTCCCCCTATTGAAAACTGATTAGCAGCTCCTTGAGGCCATGTTTGGAAAGCTACCTAGTGAAGAGTCCTTCCCCAGTCTGGTGTCCCCTAGGGGTGTCCAGCATAGCATAGCCTACTTGCGTTCCAGCTCCACCAGTTCCCTTCATGTTCAAGCCTCCTCCATCCCTTGTAAGGAAGATGGGGATGTAGTCTAATCTCTTTCTCTGCATCCGAGTACTAATCCCTCATCAACCCGAAAAGAACCCACTGTCCAGCCACAGCAGCCTGAGTGGGCTTTTGTAGTGACCCCACTCTGTATGGCCGCTCGAGATCTAAGGGGCATTAGCTAGTATAGGCCACCTGTTAACTACTTGGGCCAGCTTTACCCTGGCCCAGGACTGGAGTTCTCAGCTCTGGCAGCGCGCTTGAATCACCAAGGAGCTGTTAAAATTCCCAACATGCAGGTCTGGTGCAGTGGCTCATGCCTGTAATCCCAGCACTTTGGGAGGCCAAGATGGGCAGATCACCTGAGGTCAGGAGTTGGAGACCATTCTGGCCAACATGGTAAACCTCCTCTCTACTGAAAATACAAAAATAAGGCAGGCATGGTGGCGGGTGCGTGTTATCCCAGCTACTCAGGAGGCTGAGGCAGAAGAATCACTGATATCCTGTAAGCAGAGATTGCAGTGAGCCAAGATCATGCCACTGGTACTCCAGCCTGGGTGACAGAGGGAGACTCCATTTCAAAAAAAATAATAATAATAACAAAATAAAATTCCCAACATGCAGATACACCCTACATCCATTAAGTAAGAATTCCTGAGGTACGACCTGGGCTTCAGAGATTTTGTTGAAGATCCCCAGGTGGTTTTAGTGTGCAGACTGGCATGAGAGCTGGCCTGCCCTTTTCACTGGGCTGACATTTGTCATTTGGGCAAAGCCATCCTCAGGGTTATATTTTGGCAACTTGCACTGTCCCCCCGGGGCTACCAGTCACATCCTCCCTTGAAGCAGCCCCCCATGCCCAGTGGTGCGTGGCGGGGGGTGGGTGTCACAGGCGCACTGGGGGTGCACGAAGCCTGGTGTGCTGTTTGCTCTTTCTTCCTCCCTCCCTCGCATGTTGCGCTGCCCTCTCCCTTTACAAATGCTGTCTCCTCTTCCCTTTCATTCTTTTAAACAAGAGAATATTCATGGTTTGAAGTTCATAGTCCATAGGTTGTCACATTTCAAAGATACCAGTTGAAGAGATGCACACTTCAAAATTCAGTTCAGTTGCTGACTTTCACGAACCCTAAGGAAGGGGGCCATGAATGGCTATCAGACTTGAAGCAGAATAGGGAGAGGCACGCAGGAGGGTCTTAGGCCGGACTGTGGCCGGGAGCGCCTTCCCTGACCAACAGGCCCCTTACTGTCTTGCAGGTCTGATTCATAAGTCGTGCATGTTTCAGGATAACTGTAGCGCCGTCTCTCTCGTGCACACGGCCTGGTCCCCTGAACACAGGCAAGCAGAGGCGTGCATGCAGGCATACTTAGCATGCACACTCACAGCCCATACTCCAGCCAGACAGGCAAGAGTGGAGTCTTCCTGTGCACAGCCTTAGTGAGAATGATGTGGAAGATGATGAGAACTTTAAAAAATTAGTTCCTTCATTTGTTAAGGTCTTAAGTTGAAAAACATTGTCTGTCCCTTTAAGGAGGTGATATTTCCTTTGAGATGAGCCAATAGAAGAGGGTAATACAAATAGCGATCCTGGGTTTTTTATAAATCTGTGGCAGAGTCTCATTCTGAGCATCCCAGGAGAAGCAAGGACCCCTTTAAACTCTGTCAGAACCTGTTCCTCTTGGGTTCATAGTCACATTACTGAATTTCAGTTGTTCTATGATATGCTGAAACCCCTTATTTTCTGTGAATTTTGTAGAATTTCTCTTTGGTCTCAGGAGGTAGCCCTTGATGCTAGAGAGGCTTCAGAACTGAGCTCTTCCTTTCCCCAGACCCCAGGGAGGAGGCCCTCGAGAAGTGCACATATCCAGACATGTACACATGTCCCTTAACTTTGCAGACACACTGTACAGAAAGCCTCCTTGAAGCCCCTGACCAGAAGAGCCTCATTTCTCTCTGTCGGTTCCTGGTGACACCACTGAGGGGAAAAGAGAGGCTGGCACGTGCTGGCTCTGGTTCCACTGACTGTTGCTGTTTAATGTAAAGATGCCTCCTGGTGCTGGCTGGAGTTTGCTTCCAACTCCTCTGTGTTCTCTCAGACACTTTCTGAACACTCAGGTAGTGCCAGGCACCATGCTGGCCACAGAGTGGAGTGAGGCAAGGCCCCTGCCCTCCCTGGGGGGAGTGGGGGTTGAGGGGCCGGTGAGCATCAGTCATTACAGATTCTGCATCCTGGGGCCGAGGGACAGGAGCACAGCCAGACCCTGGAGGAGGTGGAGCTGCTGAACCTCAGGGGAGCTGGTCCTCTACTGTTTCTTCCAAAGACCCATACAGGGACCTGCACTCCCTCTTGTGTGAAAGCTATCTGAGCTGTGGGGCAGGCAGCAAAGGCTTCTGTAGGGAAGCCCGCCTCTCTCCTCCTCGCCCTGACTCAGTCGGTCCAGCTCTGCAGCAGCCCCGCCAGAGAGGCTGTTGTCAGACATACACCACCCAGGCGTTTCATCTCATAGGAACAGAGTGTGGTCCAAGGGGGTTTGTGGCCCACAGGCAGGCACCACTGTTTGCCCGTCTGCTAGAGACATTCTGTTCTTCAGGGATAGGAGGCCTGCTGCAGAGCGGTTAGTTCCTGAGCCCACAGCCCCGACTAAGCCAAGAGAACTACCCTCCTCGTAAGAAGCGGGGCAGCACTCTGCAGCTGTCTCTAGGAAGAGTTGAGGTCTTGCGGCACTGCCTTTACTGGATGCCTGTCAGCCTGGCACGGTGTGTCCTCAGATGTGAACTAGAAAGTAGAACTGTGCCTGTGCCCATGTCCGTGGCTGCCTGCCCTCACATCCACCTCCAAGGAGAGCCACTGGTATTTTCTCAGGGAGGGAGCAGGCGTGGTGTCCAAAGACAGGAACCACACATTTTTTTAAAGGGGTAAATGCTCTCCAGAACCATTGACTCCTTCCTGGTTCATTAATCCATTTTCAATCTTTGATTTCTTAAAGCCAACTGAAAGTGAAAATGTCCCTGTCCCAACTGCTACACCTGGGGTAAGATCAGTGACTAGTCCCCAGGGGCTGGGCCTTTTCCTTGAGTTTGACCATGTCGAGTTTTCCACTGGTTTTTCTGTATTCTCCATGATTGTCCTTCCAGAACAGTGTCTGCAGTGGTTTGCATTCATCATCAGTGTCCAGTACTCTTGACCAGCCCAGCGTTCTCCTCTAACACAGTAGAATATGTGGACATGCATGTGCTGTGTGGACGCAGTTTTCCAAGCTCTGTGTTGTTAGCATGTAACTCTTCCTTTCATATCATGCTTTTTAAGATGAAAAGGCCCTAGAATCACATCTTCAGTTCTTACCTCTGTCACCTTTGCATCTGTTGCTGTTTTTCTGAAAGTGTTGCATGTTCTACTTTCCATTGGGTTTGACCTCTTCATGATAACCCTTCAGAACTCTGAAGAGAGCAATAGAATCTCCATCACCTTTTTCCGTCTTTTCCGAGTGATGCGATTGGTGAAGCTTCTCAGCAGGGGGGAAGGCATCCGGACATTGCTGTGGACTTTTATTAAGTCCTTTCAGGTAAGAGCCACACCAAGGACTTCTGTCTTTGTCTTTGAAGATCATATGTAAGTCAGTGATTGTCCCCATCCTAGAGGACCCAGGCGCCCCCTGTGTGGCCACTCTGTGGACCTAAGTCAATAGAAAACATGGAATGCTGGAGAGACCCAAATCAGCATTCTTGGAAACAGAAGAGAAAGCAGGAAGGATCCGTAGCTGAGAGATCTGTAGCATTTCCAAGGCTGAGAGAGGTGTGAGGCCCGCAGCCCTGCAGTGCCCCCGGGATGCCTGGTGGTGGTGTGTGAGGGTCCCAGCAGACAGCCTGGAAGCCCAGCGGCCTCTCTCTCACAAGGCTGCAACAGTGCTGTCTGTTGGCTAGTCTAGACACAAATCAGAAACTACCACCTGGGGCAGCCACCATCCTGGGTTATCCTGCTCCTGACAGGGTCACAGAGTTCGGGATATTTAGGCATATACCATGCCTCATTTGTCACCTCTTATTCTCCAGGCTGGTACAGCTCAGTTCCAGACTTTCCCAAGTAGAACCAGCTTTTCTTATACCTGCCAGTACCCTGCCCCAGATATTCTAGCCTTCCGGACTGATTCCATTTGGAAGAGAAGATGTGGGAAATATAGATTCTTGTTAAAAGGTGGACCCATGTAGAGAATTTGTGGATATCCACAAACATTAGAAAGTGAATCCTGCATCTTCATTTTTTAAAATAATTTAACTATTTTTCATTCAGAAGTTATAAATGTTTACAATAACAAATGAAGCTGTCCAAAGACGTAAAGAGAAAGTTCAAACTTGGCCCTCACCCACCTCTGGGGTAACCAGTATTACCCTCCCAGTAAGCATTTGTCCCTAGTGGGTGGGATTTTCACAGGTAAAAGGGAGAAGGGACAGCAAGGGGGGTGGTGCAGGCACTCACAAGGGAAGTCACAGGCCCTGCTGGGGAGAATGAGGTTGGAGGAAGGTAGAGTAGGGGCCTCAGGCAGGTGGGTCTTGGACTTGCTAAGGCACAGAATCCTTGACAGTTATTATTCATTTAAAGTACCAAAACTTGGGAACAAACTGCTATAAAAATAGATAATTCAGAGGTAATATTATCTCACTTTTTAAATAAATTCTTAAAGATTCAATCTGCCACAGATAAGAAAGTCGTGTTCCAGAGCAGCAGTTCATAAAAGCAGAGAAACTGTGCAAACAAAAATCTTAAACATTTGGCAATCTAGGAAGAAAATGTACTTAGGTATGTTGAGGAAAGCCTGAAACAAACCCTGTGGAACCCTGCTGAGCAGTCCAGCTGCAGGGAGGGCCAGGCTGGCGGGCACAGGTCAACAGCCGGCACAGGTCTGAAGGTGACTGAGCACCTGTGAGCCACTGACTTTCTGACAAGCTCTCTTGGGTAGTAGAGAAAGCGGGTGCTTTAAGTGTGTGTTCCCAGAATTAAGCCTAACACTCTGGGCACCCTATGCACGTGGACGTGTTGGTCGCATGTGATGAGGCAAGACAGCAGTTGACAAACATTCGATGAAAAGATGGGGGCTCTGTCAAACACTCGTATTTGGTGTTTCTGAAGGGAGCCACACTTGGCGACCCCCCAGCTCGCTCCTTTTCTTCCCTGGCACAGCCCCCCAACTTAGCAGTTCTTTCAGAAGGTGTGCATCTTAAGACAGGTATTTTGCATTCTACAGCCACAGCCAGAAAGTGGTTCTTCCCCTCTGACCCAGTAATTCCACTCCTAAGACTTCACCTTAAGGAAATACTTCAGCAGAAGCAAGGTGATTTTGCATAAAGATACTCCTTTGCAACATTATCTACAATACTACCCCCCAAAACATACCCACAAAAGAAAGTGGAAGTACTCTAACTGTCCAGTGTTCTGGAATGGTTTGATCAATTGTAATTTCACCCAGAAAATCCAGTAATGAATTTAAGTATTATGAGAGTTATGTGTCTGTGTTGAAAATGTTTAGGATTAGGCTACAGGGTTAATGACCATGGAAAGCACATCCTGCCTGTGATATCATAACACTGGGCGTGCATGTGGATGGTGTCATCAGGACTAAAGTAGCTGGGCAGGGCTGGGATTTAAACAGTTCTTCCTCACTGTCGATGTTCCTTCATGGTAGCACGTGGAATAGAAAGGAAGCATGGGGCCACTCATGGGTCTTCTCAGTCTGTGCCAGCTGGCCAGTGCTCATCCAAGTGCCTTTTCTCTCCCAGGCACTCCCATATGTGGCCCTCCTCATAGCCATGCTGTTTTTCATCTATGCGGTCATTGGCATGCAGGTAAGCTCCAGCCATCTCACCCTCAGGGGCCCTTTCACTGGGTAGCCCCAAATCTGTGGCAAGATGTATCTTGACCAAGTGAAGTAGAAGCGTTGTGATTTTTTCAGCCAAATGCCTCTGCTGAAGCCGTACATAGGAAGACGAGAAAGACACGGCTGCTTAGGAGAGAGCTCCAGGGGAGGCCCGGGCTCAGAAGAATGTAGCGAGGTTAGAATGCACCAGGAAAAATTGCATTTCATGGCAGAAGAATTATGCTTTATCATAACAAAGTGAAATTCACTTGAAACTAAATATTTCCAGATGCTAAGACTGAAGAGAGAAGCACGTGGCCCCTCATGGTCTTTTCAGTCTGTGCTGAGCCATCACAGGGACAGAAGGCGGGTGCTGAGCCAAGTGCCTTTTGTGACCATTGTTGTGCTTTAGTAGCTCACCTTTAAAAAGAGGCATGAAACTGGGCTCTTCTGTGACCCAAGCAGAGGGGCTACACCCTGCTTCCCAGTTCCTCCTGGGGGTGGGAAAGGGACTGGGCCTCCCTAACAAAGGAGCCCTAACACCACGTGGGTGGTGGGATGGGTTGTGGGTGGAGGGAGGCAGTGTCTAAGAATGGAGGCAGTCGAAGAGCCCAAGTGGCTCTAGATATCTGCTGGCAGGCTCCTTGCAGATTCTCCACGTGGGCAGGTGCTGTCTTTCAGGTAAACGAGGGATGTAAGTGAGAAAGAAGTAAAGTAATTCTGTGATTCTAGGGGCAGAGAAGTGGTAGTGCTTTTTTTTTTTTTTTTTAATCCTGAAAGCATAGAAGCATTTGCAGGTATCTGGGAATCTTACCAGGAGTTAGGAAACAAAAGTCAGCATTCTTGAGCCTCTGTGATTCAGCAGCACGTGGCGCTGTGTGCCCTGGAAGGTCTTTTATCACATATGTTCTCATATAAAAAAGCCATCTCAGAACTGCAAGCTGCATGGCACACACCACCCCAGATTCACCCAGCAGGCATTTGTAAGCATCTGCAGGCTTCTCTAGAATGTCAGTCTGCTTCCTAAATCTCACAAGTAAAACTCTTTACTACCTTCCCGTTGCCGTGAAGGTAAAGCCCACTCTTCTGCCTGGGGCTCACAGCCCCTGCCTGTTGGCTCCTGACCTTGTCTCCAGCCTGGTCTTTTTCTGTCTGCTCATCACACATGTTACTTTCATTCCCTCGGTATCTATGCTGTTACCCTGCTCCTATGTACGTGGTGCTTCCTCCACCCGAAACACTCTTCACCTTTCTTATCGCCTGATGTATCTTTCAGTTCTGAGTTTACATGTCACTTCCCCTAGAGGCCTTCCCTGACCCAGCCCCCCAGCCTTGGGTAGATGAGTCTGTCTCATCTTCCCTGTGTATCTGGACCACCCCAGCATCATCACTGGGGTTTGATGTTGCCTGGCTACCTTTGTGTCTCTACCCCAGGGTAGGGGATCCTCAAACGTGAGACAGTGCCCCTCTGGAGCACCATGTTCCCAGTGTGTAACCTGCTGCCTGGCACATGGTTGTGCCTGGCAGATCTTTGTTGAACGAGTGAAGTGCCAGGTACCATGAGAAAACCCTAGTTAGTAAAGATCAAACCTGAGTTAGTTCTAAATTCACATATGGATTTTTTTTTTTTGCATGATGAAATCTATTCTCTTTTTCCTAACAACTTCTCCACCTAGATGTTTGGGAAAGTTGCCATGAGAGATAACAACCAGATCAATAGGAACAATAACTTCCAGACGTTTCCCCAGGCGGTGCTGCTGCTCTTCAGGTGACTGCAACTGGTTTGGGTGGTGCTCCTGGGCAGGGGTTGTGAGTCTCCTGCTAGGTCTGGGTCCAGAGGGACGGAGGACACAGGTTATTAAAGCAGCGTGCCTTTCCCAGTTGACTGTGACGGCTTTTTGTTTGTGTTTTGTATTCTTAAACACGGACCCTAGCATTTCAAACACAGGAATTTTGTTGGATTGTTAAAACTGCTGTGGTAATCCCGATTGTGGCTGACATAAGGTTTATTAATTTGGGAGTTAGCAGGGCTACTTAGGCCACCTGAAAAATTGTAGGATGTATGTTTATGCATGGAGGCATGCACTTAAACACGACCAGGAAGACAGAAACTTAGCAAAAATGTCGAGGCCTTTTGCACAGCCAGTGGAGAACATCCTAAGATGTACAATTTCAGATTTTATGGGATTGCTTTAACTTTGTGAAACAAGCTGCCTTCATAGTGAGAGAACTTTCTAGAGATCATGAAGTATTTCTAATGACTCTAGTGACTGACAAGTCATTTGCAAGTTAGGTGGTTTCCAACTCTGCCTTCAACAAAATTGAACAGAGACTTAAGTTGTTAAGTATTTTGGTCATTAAAAATAATTAATAGGCCGAGTGCAGTGGCTCATGCCTGTAATCCCAGCACTTTGGGAAGCTGAGGTAGGTGGATCGCTTGAGCCCAGGAGTTCGAGACCAGCCCAGGCAACATGGCAAAACCTGACTCTGCTAAAAATACAAAAATTAGCCAGATGTGGTGGCGACTGCCTGTAGTCCTAGCTACTGGGGAGGCTGAGCCCAGGAGGTCAAGGATGCAGTGAGCCAAGATCACACCACTGCACTCCAGCCTGGGCAACAGAGCAAGACCCTTCTCAAAAAATAATAATAATAATTAATTACTGTTAATTATACAAATGTTTAAAGTAGAGAAGACACAAAAATAAGCATCCATTTATACAAAGACTATTAGTGCACTTGCATTAGATGATGGCTGTAAATCCAAGGGAATTGCAGCAGGACCTCCAGCTGCTGTGATAAGTTGCACTTGAAAATCAGTAGGAATTTCACATTTCCATTAATTCAAATTGGATTCGCTTCAAATGACTTAGGTTTTTCTCTAATTATGAGTTTTTCTCCCCTAAGATCTAAGCTTTAAATTCCTTCTTTCCTCCACTAAAGCCCCCTTTGTTCTTCATCTGAAAAAGGTGTGCGACAGGTGAGGCCTGGCAGGAGATCATGCTGGCCTGCCTCCCAGGGAAGCTCTGTGACCCGGAGTCAGATTACAACCCCGGGGAGGAGTATACGTGTGGGAGCAACTTTGCCATTGTCTATTTCATCAGTTTTTACATGCTCTGTGCGTTTCTGGTAAGTGATCAACATAACTCCCCCTTTCAATTTATAGATGCTTATGTAGCATTCAGTGTTCAGACCAGTGACCTTGCCCCGTCCCATCGCCTGAGGACAGTTGATGCGGATGAGCACTCTGGATTCCACTTGGCAGTTGAGGGCTTTTGTTTAACCAGTTGTATGTCACTGCTGCCACCTTTGTAAGCAGAGATTTGATGCTCGATAATAGACTTGGAGCAATTACCAGTCACTTTAGCTTCTTAGCGTTCCTTTCTAAAATTTCAAAACCAGTGCATATGGTGGTGACTTAAGAGTGTGAATTTTTTGGTGATAATGAAATTATAAAACTGAAATGTGTTTCAGAAGGCCTTCCTTCCCCAGGACTTAATAAAAGCCATTCCAGAAAGCTAGAATCACACTCTTTTCTTAAACATTCTCCAGGGCCGGGCGCGGTGGCTCAAGCCTGTAATCCCAGCACTTTGGGAGGCCGAGACGGGCGGATCACGAGGTCAGGAGATCAAGACCATCCTGGCTAACACGGTGAAACCCCGTCTCTACTAAAAAATACAAAAAATAGCCGGGCGAAGTGGCGGGCGCCTGTAGTCCCAGCTACACGGGAGGCTGAGGCAGGAGAATGGCGTGAACCCGGGAGGCGGAGCTTGCAGTGAGCCGAGATCCGGCCACTGCACTCCCGCCCGGGCGACAGAGCGAGACTCCATCTCAAAAAAAAAAAAAAAAAAAAAAACAAAACATTCTCCAAATAGAAAGTTTTTTACAACTTCTCTTGGAGACCGGGGTCCCCATGTTTCATGTCCATGTCATTAGAAAGCCTGTGCTCAATTCTAACCCAATCCAGCTGCAGCTGAAGTTCCTCCCTTCCGATTTGCTTTTTCAGATCATCAATCTGTTTGTGGCTGTCATCATGGATAATTTCGACTATCTGACCCGGGACTGGTCTATTTTGGGGCCTCACCATTTAGATGAATTCAAAAGAATATGGTCAGAATATGACCCTGAGGCAAAGTAGGTTGAAAAAGATTTGATTTGGTGTGTGTGGGTGGATTTTGGAATGTCAGCTGTGATTTTTGTGAACTGGACTGAAAGTTTGGGCCAGTTGGTACTGTTCCTGGACCTCACATTGTATTTTACTTCCAGGGGAAGGATAAAACACCTTGACGTGGTCACTCTGCTTCGACGCATCCAGCCTCCCCTGGGGTTTGGGAAGTTATGCCCACACAGAGTAGCGTGCAAGGTGAGTGTCCTGTGTGCATGTCCGACAGCCTCTCTTGTAGAAGCTCGCTTCATTCAACAAACACTTGTTAAGTGACACAGCCAGGCCTTCTGTCAGGTGCTCGGGATGCAGAGATGAATAATATGTGGTTCCTACCTCTGGGGAACTCTCATATTTGTAACTCTTTGGACACCCTGTCAGGAACCATCAGAAGAGGAAGGGAGTTCTGTAATTTGTCATTGGGTGGATGGTAGGGAAGGCGACATTTCAGTCAGGTCCAGAAGGAACCTAGGAGTTTGTCAGAGGCAGGAGAATGGACATCATAACGACAAAGGGTGAGCCACTGGGTCTCCTGGCTAGGACATAAGAGGAAGTGTGAGAAGGCCCCAGGCACAAGCTGAGCCTTCTCCGACCTGCTGAGGTCCAGGAGAATGGGGAAGAAACACAAATTTCAGGTTTCCGTGGTAGGAAGTTGGCTGTTGTCAATGGAGAAGTAGACCTGAGGCCGGGGGAGCAACCAGGAGAGCTGGAATGAAGGCAGCAGAAGTGGGAAGAGAGAGGAGCAGGTTGCTTGGAGATTCACTTGGGATGTGGAGCAGGGAGGACTCGGTGGCCTGACTGAGGGGAGGGGGATGCTAGGATAGCGCATCTCCCAGCCTCGGCAGTGGTGGGACACGGTGCTATGTGTTCCACACGTCCCCTCTGCTACAGAGCTTTGTGGCCACCACAGAAGATGGGGCCCCTTTCCTGGCATACCAGGCTCTAGTCTCTCAGGGATGGATCCAGATTTCCCACTGCAACCCGGTTCTGTGTTTCCATGCCAGAGCATGCTCTCAGGAACCCTCAGTGAGACTTTTCCTTCCACAGAACTCACGGTGCAGCAGCTTACATTTGTTGTAGCAACAAAAAAGGATTTCCCTTTTCCAAGGAGAAATGCAAGATTTGCCTCTTGAAACTCTGCCTTCTAGAAATTCATCCAGTCTGTATAGTAACTAGTTCTTGCTCCTCATGGATCCAAGGAGGTCCTGGGGTCAGGGATTTTACCACTCAAGGATGCTGAGTCAGCTCTAGATAGAAACCAAGGTAGCAGAACAGAGTCTAAAATATGTTTCAGACTCAAAGAAATCCCTGAGCCAGATGCATGTTCCCTGCCCTGAAAATCCAGAAAGCCCTCTAGGCAAGTCCTTAGGGTCCTTGCCTCTCTTTAGGCCGCACTCTAGATATAGAAACAGAGCTTGACTTTTTTTTCCATAAACTTCCCAGTACTGGCCTCTTTTCTGCTTTCCAAGAACAGTGTGGGATCCAGTTCACTGATGTCGTCTTGTGTTTAAATTTCCAGACCCTTTTACATAAAGCTGTCAAATGTCCTTGAGGCACAGTCATCCATTTTGCTGACTCAGGAACTTGCCAGGAAAAGTGAACAAATGTCCAGGATTCCCTGGCTGCCTGTGCTGGTTTTGGCGAGGGGGCCGGGCGTTGGTAGGAGGACTAGGAGTTTGGGTGGGATAGACTATGAAGACACAAGATTCCAATTCATCAATATGGAAGAGAAAGAAAATCTTTTCTTTTGGAACATGCTGTTAACAAAAAATAAGAAATTTTTAAGTATTATCAACATCACCATTAATTTAGTGCTTGCCATGTGCCTCACACAAAACTCTTGTGTCCATGAGTCCTTTAATCCTTGCAAGTTCCCATCATTGGGCATATCATCTGCATTTACAGGTTGAAGTGACTGGGGCCCAGAGAGGGTGTACCTCACCCAAACTCCCTCCAACTCTCATTGCTGGTGTTAAAGGGCTCAGGATATAGAAGACGAGTGGGGAGCATGGATCCTACTCTGAAAGACCAAACCCTGGGAGAAGCCACACAGACTCATGCAAAATGCTATAGGATGTACATGATGGTCTCACTAGGCAAGGTCTGAAGGACACTCCCTGAGTTGGGAATAGTAATGGATCCTGTTGGTTGAGAACCTAAGCCAGGCCCTGTGCGTGGCCCATTGTATCTTACTTCCTTTAACCCTCACAACAGCTTTAAAAATGTGCCTGGAGCTGGGCACAGTGGCTCATGCCTGTAATCCCAACATTTTGAGAGGCCGAGGCAGGAGGATCCCTTGAGGCCACAGAAGTTCAAGACCAGCCTGGGCAACAAAGTGAGACCTCATCTCTAAAAAAACAAAACAAAACAAAAATTTGCCTGGAATGGAGGTCTGACCCTAAGACCTCCATTGGGATTAATGAAAAAAAGGAGGGGCCGGGCGCGGTGGCTCAAGCCTGTAATCCCAGCACTTTGGGAGGCCGAGACGGGCGGATCACGAGGTCAGGAGATCAAGACCATCCTGGCTAACCCGGTGAAACCCCGTCTCTACTAAAAAATACAAAAATCTAGCCGGGCGAGGTGGCGGGCGCCTGTAGTCCCAGCTACTCGGGAGTCTCGAGGCAGGAGAATGGCGTGAACCCAGGAGGCGGAGCTTGCAGTGAGCTGAGATCCGGCCACTGCACTCCAGCCTGGGCGGCAGAGCGAGACTCCGCCTCAAAAAAAAAAAAAAAAAAAAAAAAAAAAAAAAAAGAAAAAAAGGAGAAGACTGTTTGAATAGTGAAGTTTCACAGTTTAAAATACAAAACACATCATCTGCATGTCAGCATTTGTATTTCATGACTCAGCCTTTGATCTTTGTCATCCCAGAGTCCCCCAAATGATAGGTTGTATTAATCAGGGTTCTCCAGAGAAACAGAGCCAATAGGATGGATATGGAGGTGTATATGTATGTATGTATGCGTGTGTGTATGTGTGTGTGTGTGTATACATATATACACATATACACACACACAGGTTTATCATGGGGAATTGACTCATGTGATCATGGAGGCTGGGAAGCCCCATGGTCTACCATCTGCAAGCTGGAGCCCTGGGGACCTGGTGGTGGTATCTGAGTGAAGTTCTGAGAACCAGGGGAGCCCATGGTGTAAGCCTCAGTTGAAGGGCAGGAGAAGACTGATGTCCCAGCTTAATCAGTCCAGTAGAGAGAGAATTAAATCTTCCCCCACCTTGTTGTTCTCTGTGGGCCCTCAGCAACAGGATGAGGCCCACCCACATTGGGGAGGGCATTGCTTTACTCACTGTACTCACTCTACCAATTCACATGCTAATCTCATCTGAAAACACCCTCACAGACACACCCAGAAATCCTGCTTAACCAACTGGGCATCTCGTGGCCCAGTCAACTTGAAACATAAATTAACCATCATATGCGTACCCCCAAATGGCTGTTGAATTGAATTGAGGGTTGACTAGAAAAGAGATGAGTGATAAATGGAAAATAAACATCCAGATGGATATGGCTGTGGTCACTCATTTCCTTTCTACAAAGAAACTTCCCTTTCTTTTTACAGAGATTAGTTGCCATGAACATGCCTCTCAACAGTGACGGGACAGTCATGTTTAATGCAACCCTATTTGCTTTGGTTCGAACAGCTCTTAAGATCAAGACCGAAGGTAAGCATTCCCTGCCAGCAAGACAAGATGGCAGGAAAGGAAAGAGACAGCACATCCCATCTTGCCTTCCTCATCTGGGCCTTTTCTTGGCCAAGGGGAGGCCCTGGGGAAGGGGCTGGCAGGTAGAATGGAGATGTCCATGCTGGGCTGGCCAGCTGGCTCCTGCCTCCTGTTTCCTCATCCTTTATCTCCTTCCTTTATGCTTCACTTTGTCCCAGAATGTTTTGAGTTGACTCATACTACTGCTTACTACATAGCAGGGGAAACAGGCAGTGTATCGGAGCAGAGACGGAGCCATCGCAAATGAACTAACTCCAGCCATCCCTAACTGGTTGTATGACCTGCAGTGAGAGATGTCACTGGTCAGAGCTGTAGTTTCTTTCCCTATAAAAAGGAAGTAAATACAGGGATGTCCAGGAGGTCCTGAGGATGAAATGAGGTGATGTCTGCAAAAGCTCCTTTGTAGTGCCTAGCACATAGTCAGCACTTAGAAATATAGAAGCATCTTCCCAGCTGAGAGACCAAACCAGCATGGCCTTCACAGCCATGCTCAGCCCTGGTCAAATCCTGGTAAAACAGGCACTAGAGTGTGGCCATTGGAGCTGGCTCAGTGGCGACTTCGCAGGTGGAATGGAAAGCAGATTGCAACAGGCTGAGGAGTGACCAGGAGATGGGGGGAGGTGGGAGGTGGAGACCTCAAGGAGAGTTCACTCTCTGAGGCACTGGTGGAGGAGAGGAAAGAGGAGGCAGCAAGGGACTCATGCTGAGTGCAGGCAGGTGACTTCTTATAACCCTAGAGCCCAGGGAGATGCAATCCAGCAAAGCCAGCCTCTTTCAGCCTAACAGGGGCGCCTTGTGGCATGCTTGTCTGTACCTGGCCCCAGGCCAGCATTGTTAAGGGCTCCAGAAGGCAGAATGGTCCTCTATGTTGACATGTTAGTTGAAAAGACAAGTGTAAGCTCATATATTAAAAGGCCAAGGTTATGTTGTATGGATGAGTACATATAGTAGGAATTGAGAGTCTTATTTGGGTGAAATTTAGGCTGGATCTTCAAGAAAGGAGGTACGATTTGGAAGAACCTGTGAAAGAGCGGAAGGCAAAGGCATTCTGGGTTAGGAACAATGGAAGGCAAATAGCAGGTGTCAGTTGTGGGAGGGCAGAATGGAATCAGAGTGGAACTGGCCTTGAATCTCAGGGTGAACCATGTTTGTTCCCATGGTGGAGGGACTTCCCACTGGGAAGGCATGATCTCTATTGCTGAACATAAGAAGTGTGTTTGCCCCTGGCTGGGGAGAGCCTGGTGGGAGGGGAGCTCCATCAGAGGGCAGTGTGTTCATCCAGGTCAGGCTGGGATGAGGCTGTGCAAACAGACGAGGAGCTGGGGAACAGAAACAAAGCTGGCTTTTCCCCTTTGGTTTTTTGAATCCAGGGAACCTGGAGCAAGCTAATGAAGAACTTCGGGCCGTGATAAAGAAAATTTGGAAGAAAACCAGCATGAAATTACTTGACCAAGTTGTCCCTCCAGCTGGTGGTCAGTGCAATCTATTTCCTAAGTATTCCTTGGCCAGTGCTTTGATTTTAATGCTAGTGTCTCCAGAAAGTCCAGAGAGAGTTTGCAAAATGCTTTATGTATCAGTTAGAGCATTAAGGCCAACTGATAAAGAAAGCCCTTTGGCCATTTGGTGTGATTATTTGGGGTTTAATATGAAGAACATTCCAGACAAAGGAGAGGCTTCAGTGAAAAGCAAACCAAAACTCACATGGCTGGTTTTGCAGGGATTTCCTTTGTGGTGGAGGAATTAATGTTTGAGGACAAGATTGTGATCTCAAAGTGAAAAGCCTATATTTTTTGTCCAAAATGAAATACTCAAAAGTAGTTTCCGATTACCCTTCAGTATATTGTTGAAAATGTCCCATGAAAAATAGATAGCTTTCAGGAAATTGTATTTTTAAAATGTTCTTATCAAGACTGAATTTACTACCATAATTACCAAAAATGCCCTTTTAACTAACAGGCATGCTTATTTCCTTTCATTATTTATCACAAAATAACTAACCTTTGAATTTTTATATATATAAAAACCATCTATATATATACACACCATACAGTATATATATATGTATATGTATATATAGGTATATATGCATATTGGTTTTGCATTTTTATTTAAGTACATGTGGACTTAGACGTTGAGATGGTTGTTTTTGACTGTTCTGTTTCCAAGTTTTAAAGGTGCAGGATCTGTTCACCCAGTACCACCACACCCGCATTCTAGCATCCTTGGGCCATGGGCATGTGATGAGCCTTTGGTGTGTTTCGTGACCAACCGAACATTTATAGTGTCACTGCCCCCACAGCTTTCGAGACTGGTCGGGCTCAGGTCTGATAGCTGACTTGGGACCCAGGCCACCCCGAGAAGGTGATGAGCTCCGGCTCTTGGGGTGCAGACAGAGCAGCATGCGAGCCAGCTCTGCTCCTTAGCATGAAGCGAGGAGCAGCATGAGCTTTTGTTGCTGAAGGGGTTACCTGTAGCTGGCACGGCCACTGGCTCAAAGCTGGGGAAGATGGTCCAGAAAGAAATGATAAAAGGAAAACAAATGAACCACAATAACAAAACAAAAAACCCTCCCACCTAGAGAACCCTGGCTTCCCCCAGGAGAACTGATACTGCACATTTAAAACAACTCTTTGGTTTTTATTCTTTTCTTTGTAGCTGCACATCCAAGAGCTTGCATGGCTTAGATGAAATGCTTTTGAAAAACTGTTGTAACAATATGCTTGAGGTTTTTCTGCAGCCTCCATTTCTTTCACCTCGCAGTCTTTCAGAATATTCTGAAGCAATTCTGTTTTAGGGTGGTGGCATGGAATCAGAGTTATCTCTTGCCAACTGTATTCCCCTACATTGTTTCTTGAAATACAGATGCATGCTTCAGAATAGCGGGCTATGCCTGTCTATGTAAACCTTCCCCTGCTAGCCGAGGACCCTGCTCCTCCCTTGCTCCACCTCACATCTCTCTTGGAACACCACCTTCATCACAACCAGCCGAACTCCCACGTTAATGCCCATCCTCGTGAAATGCCCTTGGAGGGTGTCATTTGCATTACTATGAAACTTCATTTCATTTTACCAAAAGAAAAGTCCAGAATTTAGCTCACCATTGAAGCTCCCTTCCTTTGAAAAGCTGATCAACTTTTAGCTTTATCAGACTTCTAGTAGAGTGGAAATCTTCTTTCTTGGTCCAATAACTGGACTTAGCCTTTTCTATTTCTTAAAACGGATTGGAGTTTAGGATGACAAGCTTTAATCTATTCCACAACAGCAGTGAGAGGCAGTGTGAAGCACAAGAAGAGAGAAGTGGGGCCTTAGGAGGAGATGGAAGGCTCTGCAAGCTTCCTGCCTTTGTTGAGTGATGTGCCCAGTGCAGGGCTTATCCGGGCTGAATCTCATATGAGCACTGTGGCCATCAAGGAAGTTCAGAAGGTAGTGGCCATCAGGCTTTGGTGCATAGACTCTGGAAGAGTTGCTGGACAGGCTTTGCTCTCCACATTCATCATTTGTCTGTCTTTCCTCTTTTATCTTCCAGTAGACCCATGTCCCCAACCTTTCCTGCATCACAGCACACTTAGAAAAGGATATTTGCATACCCCTCTGGGCAACAGATGTGGAGTTCTTGAGGCTGAGGGCCTCAGCATCCCCTACACCATCACCTGGTCAAGAAGCAGGAGACTGGGTAAGGCCAGCCTCCACTCCAGGTGGCTGCGACTGGCAGGTGTGGTGTGCTCAGGAAGTCCCTTTTAGCCGTGGTGATAGAGCTGAGTAGGATGCTTGTCTTAGGTGGGTTTGCTGGTGTGCCGTGAGGCGTGACCCAGCTCCTTGTGAGACCGATGATGAAGTCAGGAATGAACTGTGGATCTGTGGGCACACATCAGGCTTGCTTCACTCCCAGTGGCCCGGGGGCCTCGGCTGCCCCCTCGCCATCAGTGCTGAGCTGCCTCATCTCTGCCTCTCAGCTCAGGTTCTCACCTCTGCTCTTCAGCCTTCCTCTGCCATCTTGTGGGTCCTTCCCCTTCATTTCAGAAGTTCTCTCTCCTCCCCAGGACTCTCCTCCATCCTTGACCTGGATCCTTTGCTCCTTTGCCCTGAAGAGCACACTGAGCTGCCTCCATTGCCTTCTTTTCAGTCCGGAGCCCAGACAGCCTCCTTGTATTCATTCGTTCTCTTCCTTCCTGTTCTGTCCTGCTGTAGCTTTGACTTTTCTTGTTCGTAGGAACTCTTCCTTGGGCCTAGTCTCCTAATTAGCTCAGTGTCTCAATGGAGAAGACGAAGTGACCCTTCAGTTTTCTCCTGTAGAGCCCTGGATGGGTCTGCCTCTGCTCTGGAGGCTGAAGGGAGATCAGAGTTAGGCCTGCATTTGCGGGAAGCATCAAGGTGGAGTGAGGTGTGGATCTTCTGCAGGTAGAGCCAGGGCTTTTTCTGGGCCCCACAGAGAAGACTGAGAGCGCTGGACTACAGAGGAAGGCTGTGGCATGGCAGGACACCGGAGACCATCTCTGGGGTCCCTGGAGACACTGGCTAGACAACAGTGTGTCCACCTTTTGTGTGCAGCCTGGGACAGGGATACATTTGCATGGTGTGAGAGGCAGCTCTGAAGAGGCCAGCAGCCATTGTGGCTGGAGACGGCCATCTCTGGAGAGGTGGTGTGAAGGATAGGACCCCAGGCTCGGGGGGCACTCTGTCCTGTGTTAAGGTCCCGGCTAGACTGAGCTGGGCAAGTCATTTGGCCTCTCTCCATCTGTTGACAGGGGCGTGGTGAGCAGATCCACCATGTCAGAGTTGTGAAGAGGCCATGAGACCCACATGGAATTCTTCTTACACAGGGCTTGGCACCTATAGGTGTCCAACAGTAGGGGCTGGCTAGAACTAGAGCTGATATTCCAAACACACCCTGAGCAAATGGGGAGGCTGGAGAGTACAGCAAGGTGTGAAATACCAGGACCTGAGTGTTCTCTGCTTACCTCCTTGCCTTCTTGCCTATGGACCTTGCATCATTAGACAAGCTGAGACTGATTAGGGACTGTGTTTTACATGCTACTCAGAGCCTTTGGCTTACCTGGGTGGCCCTACACCACTCCAGGACTATCTTGGCTTGGGTTTAGAAGGAACAGAGCACTTCTTCAGGCCAGACCACCTGAGACAGGCTTCTCACACAGTAACACTCAGTGGCTTCTGACAGGGAGGACTGGAGAGGCAGCCCGAAAAGGCCTGGGCATCTGCAGTGGGGACCACAAGATGTTGGCAGCACCTCCTGGATGGGCACTAAGTGAAGCCCACCTCGGGTGCATTAGTGAAGGATGATGCTTCTCCACGTCCCCCAGCCCATCAAGCTCCAGGATCCCTATGAATGGATGCCACTGTCGGCACATTTTAAAATAAGGGTGACTCTGAGGCTCATCACCATCAAGTGCCCAGCACTTAGGACAGCCCAAGCCAGGCAGCTGAGTGCTTTACCTGCTTCCTCCCACATAATCCTCATGGCTCCTCTGAGAGGCTTATCCCCACTTTACAGATGAGAATACAAGCTCAGAGAGGTTGAGCCCCCTGCCCCCAGATCAGCATGTAGCTCTTGCAAGGGCAGTCTGGCCTAAAAGCCAGCTGCTCTGCAGCCTTCGGACCAGCAGCCATTCCTCCTTCAGCCTCTGCAAGTCGTGGTCAGTGGACCGCCAGGCCCCACATGACCCCACACACATGGGATGGGGTACTAAAGTGGTCGTAAGCTTTACCCCCCCCCAAGAGACACAGCACACTGAAGATTTGGTGGCAAGCAGCCCGTGGGAGAGCCGTGGGGCGCATTTACATGTCCAAAGTGGTTTACCATGAGACAGCCAGAGCCTCTATTCTGCCTCATGCATCACCTTTAAAGTCATCAGCAGAGTTCTGATTCCCCAACCATACATGTTGGAGGTTGTTTCTGAACAAAGCAAAAATAAGCCCAGCTCAACTTTGAGGTTGGTTGGAGCTGTCACTACAGTGCAGAAAATGAGCTGTTCAGAATTACAAACCAAGAAATGGTATACGGAGCTTATTGGTAGAGAATGTGGGGCGGGGAGCTCATGAAAATCTGAATTTGCAGTCACTTTTCTAAACCTTCCTCTCCTTCTGAGCGTGTATGTCACCTTTCTAGGTCTCTATCTTGAGACATCGGGATTTGGATGGTTAATTGCCCTTGATAAGTTTATGGTAGTTATACATGCAAATCCCTATGCACAGGGGTGAAATGTGGCCCGTGAAGCCTCCTTTTGTTTTGTAATTTTTATTTTGAGTAAATAACCAAGACAGCATTTCATAGTGTTACTAATATGCTGCTCTATTAAACTCATAACAAATATATTATTTTCTGCAACCTCGAATATCAGTTCATTTAACTGACACTAATTTTGAGCCTTAGTTGCTTTGCAAAACCTTGCTTTTTGCTGATTTGAGACTCCTCTGTTATATGCTGAGACCTCGGTGCCTTCTGCGCCATACCGCCCGCCCGCCCCACTCTGCCCCTGCCCCTGCCCCAGCCAGAAGCAAGTGTTTAGGCTCTTGGTCTAATGTGCTGATTCGGGAGAGCTCTGTCTGGTCTCTCCGTTTAGATGATGAGGTAACCGTGGGGAAGTTCTATGCCACTTTCCTGATACAGGACTACTTTAGGAAATTCAAGAAACGGAAAGAACAAGGACTGGTGGGAAAGTACCCTGCGAAGAACACCACAATTGCCCTACAGGTGAATTGTTGTCTCATTTTGTTTTCTCTCTTCACTAACGATTTTACGAGCTTATTTGAAATACTAGAGAGCTGCCTATTCATGGTTGAGCAGTACCACAAGGATTTTGTTTAAACTGAGATACTGCACACTCCCCCAAATGTGGACTAGCCATTTCTGGGCCACAAGGTAAGTGCTTCCCTCCCCGCTGCCTTCCCCATGGAGCCCTGCACCTGCCACCACCCACGTGGCAGGGCTGCCAGGACGGAGAGGAGCGAGTGCTGCCCTCGCACCCCAGCCCTGCCAGGCAGTGCCCTCCAAGCAGGCACCCACCTTCCCCACAGCCCTGGGCTCCAGGGTTCTGGCTGCCCAGTGAATGAACAGCTTTCCATCTGAACGCAAGTGCTTTGTTTTGTTTCTGTTTGTTTCTTACCCCACTGCTTGTTGGTTTTTGGTCCATTTCAGTAACATCCATCACCTCCTAGTATGTACTCTGTGTGTGTGTGTGTGTGTGTGTGTGTGTGTGTGTGTGTGTGTGTGGTGTCTGTCTCTGTGTGTTGTCTCTTGCCGGCCAGAAGGCCAGCTGTGCACATGCTATGCTCTCATGCCCCGGCCAGCCTCTGGGCCCTCTCCCTCCTCCACCTGGGCCCTGCTCCAGGCTCCTAGAGTGTGGATGTGGCTTTCGGGAACCTCTAGTACCAGCCAGGGTCCTTGCATGTGAGGAATGTAGAATCCTAGGGAAGCCTCTGGGATGGGAAGCAGGTATGTGGAGGGGCAAAGAAGGCACGATGAGGACCAGCAGGAAGAAGGGCTAGGAAGGTGGTCTATGAGTGCCGTGGATGAAGGAGGCAGGGCAAAGAGGGAGAAGATGCTAGGGACAGGGAAGAAGGAACCACAGAGGCTGACAAACAATCTGAAACAACTGACCTCTGCTGCCCAGAGTGCTCGGAATCCATCATGGATAGGATAAAGACTTTTTAAAAATCGATTTACACCACAATTTTATGCCCCTGTTCTCAGCACGTGTTAAATTTGGCCTTGTGGGTATTGATAAGGTTCAACATGGAAGAGTCCTTCACTCTTTTCCGGGGAAAAATGCCCAGCATTGTTGTGTGTTCAAAGTGATGGTAACAGCCAAAATGAGGGCTTATCTTTGATCTTGCTGAGAGAGAGAATATGAATATGAATATGAAAGTGAATGAGTGAATGACAAACACGAGCTGTGTGTGTATCTCATGGGTTAGTAGATGGCCTTGTGTGACAGTGACCTGCTGATTCACGGTGAAACCTCTGCTCTACCCAGACAGCTACAGGGGCTGGGGAAAGAGGTATACGAGGGTTGGCAGGTGGACCATGAATCCGACTGAAGACAATGATCTTACTGCCTCTGATCACGTATCCTAAAGGTAGCTGAGGGAATCACAGGCTCAGTCACACAGCCCGTTGGCATCTCAGGTGGTAGGATTTACAGATGAAGCTTTCTCACTTCCAAACAATCCAGTTTGTAAAAGTGACAGCCCTCCTCCTGGTCTGCAGCTCACAGCTAGCCTCAGAGAGAGAAGGCAAACTGCAGAGATGTTTGCAGATTGGAAGAAGTCTCCGGTCCATCCCTCCTTGAGGACAGTGTGGCCAGGTTGGATGCCCGGAGAGGGAGTGATGAACATGCTTCTGCAGGCTTGTCCTTAACGGAGCCCCCTGCCCAGAAGACGAGACTGGTTAGATGGTTTAGTTCCATTTCCCACTGCTCTGGGCTTGTAGGGAATTGCTTATTGTTCTGGGAACCTAACTGGGACCAGAACTTGATAACTTTTCTGGAGGGGGGAACATAGTCTGTCATCGATGGTTGATGTCCTAATTTACAGCAAGCAAATTAGCTAGGTGCCATAAGAATCTTGCATTTTCTGTAAGAGGTATGGGTGGCCACTTGGATGCAGGGTCATTTTTACTTTTTCTGAACCCCCAAGACTTCCCAATTAGACAATTTCAGCACTTTCTCTAGTGGCTGGAAATAGTGTTTTGATGTTTTAAGACATGCACAAACAACGCACAGCTAAGTCATTACCAGGTTTCACGTCTGGGATTTTCTGAGTCCTAAGTTGAAGGGTCAAATGGCATGAATTACAGTGGCAGGTTGTGGGTTGAAAGACTCTCTTGCCTTGTGTTGCAATAATGTTGAGGGTTTCTCCTAAACGTTTTTCATTTGATTGTTTATAGAGTTTCATTTTATTGATGAAATGCAAACATTTCCAGTTAGAGGATACCAACATATTTCCGCATGGCTCCCTTGGGAGCTGAAGCATCGTCTGTAATTTATGCTGAGAATGCAGCCTGGAAAATTAAGTTGTGTTCATAATCTTAACAGAGAAACTGAAAATGTACTTGATTCTGAAACATTAAACATAGACATTTTTTTTTGTCTCCTTGAAGGATAATTCTAATTGCATTTTGGCTTCCTGTGCTGTAGAAATGGCTGTGAGTGTGATGTGTTACTCCATGTTTAATTAACATGAGGAGGCTTTCCTTTCTGCGTGATGAAATACCGGGTGACAATGTAGCAGTTAGGAAAATTTGGTGGGACCGCAGTGGGAGAGTTGTACCACCAGTGTAACTAGGACAAGGACACAGCCTCGGGAAGCCCGCCCCAAGAGTGGGCGTGGCCTGTTGAGATGGGGGATGGCTTGCCTCCTCCCACAGCAGGGTGCCCCATGGCTGACAGACTGCGTGCTAATGGAAAGTGGAGCGTGGCCATCGCAGTGTGAGCGCAGAAGTGCGGACCTAGGCATGTGCGTGCTTGTGCTGCGTAGGGTGCAGTCTGTCTGAACAGCTTCCAGGACGGGCCCAAGACCTCTGCACCCCCACCCCCAGAGAATGTTTTTTCAAGGACACACATACGCACTGTGGTTTTGAACCCTGTGGGCTCCATCTGATCTCCCTGTGTTCAGACCAACTGCAATGCTGCCTCCCACATGAAGGGGAATGACTTGAGCTCCTGGATCCATGTGTGGGAAGGAGCTCGGCATCCGGTGTCTTCTGGCCTCTGTGGTCTGAATGAGTGTGCAGTTTCCATCCTTCCATCCATCTTCATCATTAAAACCAACCTTCTCTCCAGCCCCTCTACAGAGGGAACCAGAGAGAAGCTGCATCAGGTCTTTTTTAATTTCCTCTTGCGCATCTCCTACATGCCATGTTCACTTTGGGTTGACTCAGCATTCGCTCGTCATCCATTGTTGCTACATCCGAGTGACCTACGAGTTTCCACCAGGGGCAAATAAATAAAGGAACACAGCCATGCAGCCATGAAAATTCTCAGTCCCCTTCCCAGCAGACAGCAATGCATGCTGAATGTCCCATCAGACCTTCTAGATGAGGACATCTGTGCAAGTTACAGACACTCTTTAGTCCAGTGTCTTGTGGATGAGAAAAAGACCCCTAAGTGGGAAAAGTTTTGTTCATTTCTCTTTCTTTTAACATTCAAGAATTTCCTTTCTGCAAAAGACACGCATTCCAGTGGAATCCGAGGACACTATGTCCCCCACTCATCCCAGATGGGAACCTTTCCATCCCCATCGTAGGAAAGCTTTGGAGGGATAGTCCTTTTGCCTGTTTGGAAGTTTGGTTTAAGGAGGAGACCATTATTTCTAGCTATAAAGAATTAGGTTGTTAGGTTGAATAATTGTAAAGCCTGTGCCCAAGCCACCAGTTGGTGATGCAGGTGGTTGAGGGGAGATGTGGGTGGTAAGAAACAAAGGACTCTCAGCCCCTGATGTGCCCCATGTGGTCTTCTTAGGGAGGCTCGATGCATAAAGACAGAAGAAAATGGGATTCTCCACAGAGATTTAATCTGTAGAAGATTAAAACACCTGTTGCCTGGTCACCTTAGTCTAAAAAGTAGTGGAGTTTTGTTTTGTTATTTTTTTTAAAGCATGATTCTACCTGAAGCCATCGAAAGGCTCTTTTTAAATTTTTTTCTTTTTTTAATCTAAGAGGAGAACAGATGCTAACAGATGAGATTTCACTGGCTGATTCATTTGTTTCAGATGCTTGAACGGATGCTTTAGAATTTTCTGCCTGAGCTACGGCACCAAGCTGGTTAGTCGGAAGGCGTTTGTGGCTAAGGCCTTGAAAGGGAAAAGTCTCAAGTGGGCTTATTTCTACTGAAACAGCATTTCGGAAGAAATGCAGGAAAAAGCAGACCCAAGGCCCCAGGGAGACCCCTTCCAAGCAAAGCACTCCTCCGGAAGGTGGAAGCGGGGCCGTGGCTCATCTGCGGAGCCAGGGCTGCCTGTCGCGGACGTTGCTCACGGTGGTTCTTTTTCGTGAAAGGGATCGTACAAGTCTTAACAGTTTTCCCTTCCAAGCAGAGACTCAGAGAAAGGGAAAGAGTGAGAGAGAGCAAAGGAGGGGGGCAGCTGCCCCACAGAGAAATGAAATGAACACAACTTCCTGATGCTGGCCAGTAAAACAAAAAAATAAAAATAAAAATAAAAAGATTAAGCAGACCTGCCTAAGGTGGGCATCTGACTCCGTTCCAAAGTCCTGCATCCCTAGTTTGCCCGAACTCCCAAAGACTGGCAGGCCCCTCGGCGCTGAGCTGACAGAGTTCCTTTTGTATGCCAGTCCACCATGACCTCCTGAGCGTCCGGCCCTGCTCTCTGCAGTGACCCAGTCCAGAATGCAGTGAGAAGTGGACAGGCCAGGAAGCTCAGATACACCCATTGAAACTAACACATACACCCCGCATGCCAAACTCAATCCAGGCAACACCTCAGGTTCCATCTTAACGTGTCCACAGGAAACACCACCACACCCAAACCTCATCTAACATTGTCCGTCTTTAATTCGTGGTCAAAGCCAGTCTGGGGATGCCTCTTTGGAAGCAGTGTGGTCTAGTTTCAAGGACACTGGGAGTCAGGGAACCTGGGTTCTAGTCCCAGTTTCAGCTTTCACTTGCTGCGTGACCTTGGGCAAGACACTTAACCTCTCTGTGCCTCAGTTTCCCCCATCTGTAAAATGGGGTTAAT